TTTTTGGGCATGAACAAACATGCTTTTATCTGAAATCAATATAAACAATGTCTTACTTCTAAAGAGACTGTACGTCTGAAGATTATTTCTAATTAAACAAACATTTAGAACATTTTTGTAGTATGATATGTCCATATGTTAGAAAAGCTAACTATAAAGATCTAATCCTTAAACCTTTAGCATAAAACACGTTCTTTGACTTTTAATTCATTTTCAAAACCTAATCCCTACACTAAACAGTAAAACTAGATACCAAAGCCCTTAAAACATGAGAAATGAGACCTGGCCAAACTTTAGATAAGCCTATACTAAACCAGCCAAACTTCACTTTTAATCCAAACACTAAAACTGAGTCTAGAACTTCCCTGTGGAGCTCAAAGGAACAGTTCACTTTCCTCACAATGCTAACGTATCTTTGCAGTTGCGATCGGGGACCATCATTTCCCCACAACTACTAAAAGACACACACACACACAAGCTTATGTAATCTACCCATATGCATGTAACAGCATGTTTTCAGTTGACTGTAGTATGTAAGACGCTCTGTCATAACGGACTGGTGAATGTTAGTATCTCAGACTGATCAGAAGACTTTTTTTAAAAATGTTTTTCTTCTTATTCCTGCATGCAGACACCTGAGTACTGGCATGATTATAAATAGAAGTAAGTGTGGAGGTTAGGTTGGGGAAAAGAATATCAGCCCTTTTTCTGTAGTTTCTTCCGCCCTCATTTGCAGCTTCAACTGCACTGAAACAAACACAGTGTTGTACAGTTTGTTTGGGTTTGTTTTTTAGCCATGATGATTTCAGAACTAATCACTCAGTTCATGAGCCATGTTCTTATAAGGGAATGGATACAGCAGGTATTACCTTTAGTTAAGGGCTTACAGTAGAGGATTTCAGCCTCTACTTTTAAATATGTCTACAATACCAAAACGTAGGTATTATTTAAAATCTTTGTACATAACAAGGTACATAAATATGAGGCACTAGGCCCAGTTTATTATAAAAACAATTTTAAAAACATGGAAGACCCCTGTTTTAGGGGCATATTTTGGTAATTTTTTTAGTTTCTAGTGTGTTCTTACTGATAACTTCTGTATTCTGTATGTGAAGTATTTGACATTTGACAGTATGACATTTGTTGATTCTGTGTTTATGGAATGCCTTAGCAAAATTGTGCTAAAAATATAATTCTGTTATTATATAACGAGCCACACGGACTAAAAATAGAACTTCATATCATCAAAGACACAACAATTCCGACAAATATAAAGATAGGCAGATTAAAGAAAAAAGAAATGTCTAAATTCTAGCTAATTTGACTTGTTTTACTAAGCAAAATGTGCTAAACTTCAAAGGAGGAAAGGAGCAGACGGCGAACGCACACGTGTAGCTCCAGTGTGCACACGTGTGCAGGCTGAAGGGACGGGAGCACTCCTGTAAGTTTACACTTTCTTTTATTTAATTCTCCATGCGTTTGGAACTAATTTATTTACGATGGTGTCAAATACAATCGAATAGGTATCCATGGGCGTACATAACATTCGGACATTGCGGTTTGTGATAGATATTTAATGAGTTGACGGTGATTTGATGCTTCCAGAGGGCGAGACCGACGTCATCCGGGGCTCCGCGATGCGTTCATGTTAGCTGGGAAAACAAATCAAACGAAAGAATACTGCGATTAATTGTTTCATAAAGAACTGTTCGTTGTTTAATAAAGAATGTGTCAAACCCTCTTCGTGCTTTCCTCTCAACACACAGCTGGTAATTATAATATTATTTGTAGTTTAAAACAACATGAATCATTGTGAACTTCTGTAATATGAAAGGAAACAAATCTAAACGTGTAAGACCGGGTATTTATTTTGTCTTTACCAAGTCTTTACTATTTAGTTAGAGCTTATGAGATGGTAAGTATAATACTGTAAAACTTTAATTTAAAGAATGACAATATAACAATGCCTGAAGACTTTATTGGTCATTCTAGAACACAATTTGTACCGGAATTTCACAATTCCGCTACACGATATTTTAATCCTTCGTATTTCTTTATTTTATATTTCGCAATTGACTATTGACCTTATAAAATATCTTTGTGTATTATATATAGTGGATTGATATCCTTATTTTTCTACAAACATGTAGATGGACACAACAGGCAAAGCATAGATGGTATTTATTGACGATGCAATTATTTAAAAAAATGTGTTAATCCAAAAGAGGGGCCTGTAGAGATGACACAATACTGACGTACATATAATACGGTTTTGTCTCAGGTAATGAAAACAGAATTTGTAAAATACTGTCAAGAGTGTGTGCATGCATGAAAGCATCAGTAAAAACATGTATGTTTCTTTTCTTTTTTTTTACCAATAAGTACGTGCAACCTTAAACATTTCAAACTCTTCAGAGCAGTGTTTTGAATCTACACTTGTTTATTTTTCTTTTTTCCCAGAAGGACTTGAAAGCAGCAATTCTACCTTCCACGGAGGCGCGCTCCCGTGTTTACGTGCCTACTCCCCCTGTACGTGTGCGTGCGCGCCTCCATGTATCGCGTGGTGTGGATCATCCATATTGCTGCTGCTGCTGCTGGTGGTGTTGGAGATAAGGTTGTAGTCTGGAGAGACCCTGGGACACGTTTATTCTTTATTTTTCCGTATGTTTTAATACAGTGCCGACTGATCTGCGTCTTAGACTGAAGCTCTTTGGTCTAGGAGCAGCAGACTCCACCGGTGAAACTTGAAATTTTCCCTGAAACTGAAGGCTAAATTCGGGCCAGAGGTATAGGAGAAGGAGGACTGGTAATCCTGAGGGGGGGAGAAGAAAGAAGGCGGTGGGAAATGGCCACTCAGGTGGAGGCTCTCCTGCCCAGCAATCCGCTGGCAAAGGCGGAGGAGCATGGCAAAGTGATCCGAGTGGAGCCGGAGGACGAAGGAGGTGAAGGCCGGGGTGGGGACGGGGCCAAGCGGCAGACGGGTGTCGCCGACCAGAGCAGCAGCAACAGCTCTGAGCTGGGAGGGACCGCTGGTACGGAGTCGTCAGACGGGAGTAAAGAAGACAGTGACAGCGGAGACAAGCAACACGAGGAGTGCGTAAAGGGCAGCAAAAAGGAGTTTACGGAAGCTCCACCGCCCAAGGTGAACCCGTGGACTAGGAAAATGAACGCCGTGACCGTGGTCAGCGTAAACGGACAAGCACACCATGGTTTGTACACCCTTGTCTTTTTAAGCTTGTTGTCCTAGTTGTCATCGATGCTGCTGACAATATAAAGTGTTAATTATACCCAAAAGAGAAGCCAAGTGACGGGTTCATGTAGCTATAAGCTCCCAAAACTTTTGTCATAGTTATAGTTGATGCTTCTATTGAGTAGTAGTAGAGTACATGTGATGTAGAGTTAAAAGTATCTTCAACCATTTGGCTTATTTTTTTCTAGGTTAATTAATGCACGTAGAAAAAGTAAACATTTAGAAATAAAATACTTGCTGTGCATCTGAACTACAGTTGAACTAAACAGATGTTTTAGTTTTTACCACCTGGGATATGTCTCTTGAGTCTCCATGGTTGAGTGTGAACCCACAGATTTGGAAATGATGATACAATGTAGCACAACTTAGTAACCTGTTGTTGCAGTTCATTGTGGTTTTCAATATGGAGTTGTAGTTGCCAGGCATTTGGCAATGGTGTCAACAAAACTACTGCCCCCCGACGTTGAAATTCCTTCTCCTAAAGCCAAAACAAAGATGGCCGATCAGTGCCTGGACTATAGTGAAAGCTGCTGTTTTAATACGTTTTTACAGCAATGTTTTCACCTTATGATTTTACAAGTTGGTCCAAACTGATGCTGATGTGCATGTAGTTGTTAGTTTACATTATATTGATATTCACACAATCTTTTTGTCAGCAGTAACCTGATGTTGTTTTGATTAGACACATGCAAATGGAAACTTCCAACTTTACTCAATCAAGGCATTGGTAATCAGCCACTCATCATACCAGCCATGCAGATGGTTGCAGAAACCAGCATAATAAAAAAATTCTCAAGCTAACTGGTCAGTTTTATCTCTTGACCCAGACTTTAGCAATCTGTGTCGGTGTTTATATTTAACTTTAATTTTCTTAATTTAAGACTGGGTTGATTTCTCATGGAAGGACCATTTAAGCCTCAAAATAGTCATCAAGATTATTTAATAATTTTTCTTTTGCATGACCAACATGTGGGCTTCTAGCCAATGTTTAGGAATGACTGCATTATAGCTAGTTAAAGGTCAATTTAGTGAAAGCTATTCTTGAAATATACAACAAATGATGTCTTACCTTAGCCTGGGGGGGAAAAAATCGCAAATGGTTATTTTACTCGGGTTATACATTTTTATGATGTCAGAAAAGGGTTGTGTTGCACTAGTGGCTATAACGTTGAGTCATCACACCAGACAAACTCAGTGCACTTCAGCAGAGCAGGTTTTGTTGAATGGCTGTGTTTTTGGTTTGTTTAGCTGTGTCATTGTTCATTTTAATACTTGCCATGACTCAAGAGAGCACACATGGGGGGGAAATATGGTAATTTTATGTGTAGTTTTTGCGTTATCACTCCTCCCTGTGTCTAGACCCAAGCCTGACACCTGGGTTTATTCTATGTTTTACCAATGTTGTTAGAAAGGGGTGTCGACATACACATAGTCTTTGTGTCTGTTCTGCAACAATTAAAAATGAAGCCACGGGCTTGTCTGGCTCAAGACATGTGTCGTTCTGTCTGTGTGCGAGTGTGTGTTGCTGCTAATCCGGCTAACAAAAGCGCACACACTCCTTTGGCCTAGTGTGTCGCTCAGCCTTTCACTCTCACATGTTAGCATAGCTTCTACGCCTCTGCCATTTTTTCTCCCGTAAAATACTTTACAACGTCTCAACACTCCACGTTTCTCTTAAATTAATGATCGACACTCAAACATCACCGGTCGTCAAACATATGTTCTTTTAATCTGTGTAAAATCCGTGCGTTTGTGATGAGACGTCACGTGTTCATTCCACGTGTTACACACACTGAATGTGTATTAGCACGTTAGCCGGTTAGTTCGTCACTCTAACCATATCTGTGCGAAACGACCGAAAGCATTCGTCGTTGAAGTTGTGCCCACCCGTGACAGTCGGTCGGTTGAGTGGTAAACAGACTAGCTGTTACGTCGCGCAAATTTCGTTGCATGGTTCACTTAGCGCTTCAGAACGCCGGTCTTGGTTGTCCACCTTAAGAAGCTAACTGCCGTTAGCATTAAATTCTTAGTAGCAACAGGATGATCTAACTTTGACCCCCAGAGTAACATAAGCCATTTTAAATTTGATATGACGAAGTACTGGGCAATAACTTTATTTATGAATAAATTGTTCTTGTGGCATGTAATTCAGTTGTGTTGAACATACATACAAACGCCCATATCTGTACTGTTAAAAGCATGGCCGTGTCTCTGAACCGTGTGTGTTATTTCAGCACAGCTAGCTTTGTCAGCAGTGTGTTTTGTCATTTTTGGCCCTGGTGTTTAGACTTGTGGGTACAGGCAGTGCCCTCATTGTTGTGGACAATGTGGTCACTGTACAATCTACACGCAGATTTGTAGAAATAAGAACACCTTAGTGGTAGTGAAGCGAAAATAAATTGTGTGACTAGACCTGTATGACTTTTGAAGAATATTCATTATGTATTTTAATTTTGCTGTAAACATTTTTGTGAAGGATTTAATCATGACATCCTTATAATAAGTTGTCTTATAAGTGGTCTGATCATCAGATAGTCAGCAGTAACCAATAAAGGTAATGACAATGACGATTGTTTTCTCAGTAGATTGTATTTAAGTTGTTGTACTGGTGCATTGTGATTTTCCTCCAGAATGGGCTCTCTTTGCAGTTATTTGTGTCTGGAAAACATGACTCTTGTCTAAAATTATCTTACACACTCATTAAAGCAGAGCAAGCACCTGGGGCTTCGACCCTTAGTCGATAAATTGGTTAATAATTTGCTATTTAATAAGACAATGAATTTTCTGATAATTTGGTGATTTTTTTAAATTGCACTTGCAAAAGTTAAAGCTGGAAGCAAATTTGGCCAAGTCATTCATCTTTGTAACCTAAAAGTGTTGTCCAATATCAAGATTTTTTTTTTGACAAGTATCCTACCCCATAAACACTTTTGTGTACCCAGTGTGTCCTTGAACAAGGTCTGGACTCTTGCCCTGGATAGAAAATGCCACGTTCGTACAGCTTGTTTTAGGATCAAAAAGCGTGAGTTTATCAAGCATATTATTATACTCCTAAAGAAAAGGGTGGGTCCTGAGTAAGGCTTTATTAATAATTTTGTAAAATAGAGTAACCATCTTTATTATCTTACTTGTGTTGCCCTCAAGAATTTCACAGTGACAAATTGAATTATAGTATTTAGTCTTAACACTTGACATGGAAATTGTATATTTACAATTTTATCACATGCTTTGTTTTAAGGGTGAAATCATGTATTTGTGTATCTATTTCTATCCTTTTTTTGTTTCAGCAATATGTTACTTTTGAGGTGTTGTTTTGAAGATTATCATTATTATGAACAAAATTGTTAATGTGATTTATTAGAGAGCTTTGAGGTACATGTTGTTCTACTCAGACTACTCAGCTGTAGTAAAGGTGCTCCAAGTTTGTACTGACCTCTACAACTGCTTAATTTAACACTGTTCAATAACTCCCGTTTCTCTAATGTTGGTGTGACAGTTGTATTTACCACTATGTTTTCATACATGTATCCAAAATGAAAATGGTTTTGCTTATAATCAACTTGCGTGCCTGAACTCTTAAGAAGCTGCAATTTTCCCCATTACTTGTTTGATGAAGAAAATCCCCCTTAGTGTTTAATTAAAGCAAACAAGATCATATTTACACAATGTTTCCCACCCACTCCACTGAATATCCTTAATTTGAATTTCCTTATTGGTCCCACGATGGGAAAATTCAGGGTGAGACTTTGAATTTGGTTGACACAGCAGGTGCCTTTAAGAATGTGGTTCCTCTGAGGCTCGAACCCAGGACTTTCTGCACATAAGGCAGATTACAAGCAGGTATGATAGGTAGTTATTAGGTCTGCTAAATGTTTGTTTTCTGTCTATTTAAAAAACAATTTAACAGGTAGTATTTGCATCCCTGCTACTCTGTTAGCAGCTGTCATCTTTCTTGGCATTTGTGAAGTTAAATGTCTCATTTATGGCCCCTAGGAAGTTTGAAAAATGATGGTCTCCCTCTCATTAACCTGAGTTCTATTGTAATACCATATTGATACTACTATATTGTCTAGCGCTGTTCTAGATGTTAGTGTTGAGACAGTGACAGAACTTGCTTATATGTTTGTATCAAGACCAGCTGTCACTGTTGTTAGGTGTATGTGTTTGGAGAGGATCGCCTGAGGCCACTGCTCTGTGATCCCTTGACTAGATCAGGTGATGCCATTACATTGACTGTGTGACGTTGTGAAGACGACAATGAGGCGGACTGCCTTTGGTGCACACTGGGTGTCATTTCCTCCATATTTGGTTCCTGCAGACAGGGTTCTGTCCTCTGACATCACGCTGCTCTCCTGGATATGAGCGCATCATATTGCAAATGCCTAAACTAAAGGATTATAATTCATGCTGAATAAAGGATACAAAGGATTTTGATTGTTAAGAGTTACTCATCACAACCTGTGTAAAAATAGTTTCCCTATGATTATCTTAACTTCTCTTAGTGTCTTTGGTGAACTGTCTCTTATGGTGAGTTAAGTTCCCCTCTGAAGTTTTAATAATTTTTGAATCAAAAAAGAAACTGAAATACTTGTTTAATATAAGTCATGTGTGACATTTTTTGTAAGACCATGGTTTCTGTGGAGGTTTTGTTGAAAATGCCCCGGTGGGGGGAAAAAACCTGCAGCCTCGTTTTCTTTTTAACCTGCTACTGTCACTGGGAATTCCCTCAGTGCAGCCCAAGTTATTTAATAATACATATATAGTACATTTTATTGTGTTCCATTTAAGAATGGTGCCCAAATAACTGAATGAATTTAAATTGAAAAAATAAAAAAATCCCAGCATCTGGTGGAAAACTGGGCCACTTTCCAAACACCAGCCCATGTTTATCTTAAACTGCAGAGTCGACGTGGCACATGGTTTATTTAAAGGTTTCACAGTGATAAACCCTATGGGGTTTGAAGCAGGTATTGTCACTGTGGCTCTATCACCCATGGGAATCTTTGTTTGGACTCCACCTGAGCAGAGTGCTCCTTTTCTAAGAAGTACAGACTGTGTATTTATTAAGAGTGCTGAAATTTAGGACTGTAAATAGTCTGTAAGAAAGAAAAAGTGCAAAGCAATGTTAATCATGTCAGCTACATAAGTTAAATTTACCTAATCTCACTAAATTGACAGATTAAGAAAATGTAAGTGTGTATTAGGGTTGTCCAGTGACCCTTTTCCCCAAGTAGCCCATGTACTGTTCTTTAGAGTACAGTAAGAGATTTAAGAATTAAAGGTGTTTAAATTGATTTGACATGTCCAAAGCTAAGTGAATTGAACAAAAGGCAGTGCTACACAGAGAAAAAGACCATTGATCATGGAGGCTGTGGGGGGTTGGTGTGACACATGTTAATCGTAGGCCTCCTTTTCACACCTGTTTGAATAACTGTTGAAACCCAGGCTTAAGTTTGAAATGTAAATACTGATGGGAGGGTAAAGGCGTTTCTTTTGTTGTTTTATGTAGTGGTTGCTGGTCAGATTAGATGACCAAATACTTTTGTATCTTTTTATTACATATGGATGTTGCCAGGTTCCTTTATTGCCTTGACATCTTTTCGATAATTTTTTAACACAATCCCGGACCTTTTGGTGTCCCCTTTGGGCTAAGCACTGACTAGTAGTGAGGCGGTTGTTTCTGGCTTTTACTGTAGTTATCCACATGGTCAGAAATCCCCAAAATACTCACTAATTTCAGGGTTAAGGATATACTTCACTTTCCATATCTACATCCCAGCAAAGGTTTTTATTTGACACATGTTTATTCAACATTGTCTTCATTCGTGTATAAAGTCGGATTTCACACAAGAAGCAAAACGATTTTAATTTCAGTGTTAAAAGGTGGTGGTGGGGGTGGGGGGTTGACAATAGGTCTATCTTCAAAATGGGGCACTGCAGAAATAGTTGACAACCACTGGCATAAGACTAACCCAACAATGGATTGGCAATTGCATAAAACAAAAAAGGACGAGCACATGGGGCAATCTTGTGTGAACTTGTGATGACTGTGGTGACATTTGAGATCAAATGTGGAGGAGTGCAGTGTTGGACTAACATGGATCCTTATGAGTATGAATGGAACTGGAACCATGTTGGTGCATTATGAATCTAGTAGTGTGAAATCAGAATCAAACAAAATCAGTTCTGTTGTTGGACCACAACAAGAGGCAACACCGAATAGACGCAGAAGAGAAGTAAATTAGTGTGATCGGTGACACGAGTCTCACAGGGCGTGAGGCTGGATGCGCAGGCCTGACAAGCAAGGCCAGCACTGCTTGACTGGTTGAAACTAAAAATAGACGAGCATGTCGAAGTAGAAGTTAAAGCTCTCCTTACATGTTATGCCTATGGCCCAGGGTAAAGGACAAAGTTAAGTCTACTTCACTATCACTTCATTAATGTTATATAAAATGATATGTAAAGAGTGCTACAGTTGGTAAGTGATTGTAGAATTTCTACAGTTGTGATGTTACTCAGTGGTTCTAGCCAGCTCATGCAGAGAGCAGGTGTATGTTGAGATGCTAAAAGTTAGCACAAACCAGTGAGGCTAAAATGTCTCTTAAGAACATATTTAAATTAATTCATCCAAATTCTTGGTGTCAACGGACTCGCATATAGACTCGTCTAGTTTTTGGTTTGGGTAGGGCAGCACTGTCCTGAATGTGTCCTTCGCTCTGATTGAAAGCAACATTAGGAGCTGGTAGTGTATGGCGATGCTTGTGGCTTCATATAGCATGCATAAATGCAATCCATTCTTAGGGTGCATGAGAGTCTCTGAAGTTGACCTGGTTTGGCTGCAGCCTTACAGTAGTCCTCATCATCACACATGTGCAAGTGCAACAGTATTAGCACCAAATGAAACGACCTGTTTTTGAACTATGGATGTCTTATTTGATATGCCAACATGTTCTTACCGCTGTTCTGTAGAAACAGAACCAGGTGTAAAGAATGTTTAAGGCACAGCCTAAATGTGACCGGATTCTAAAAAATGTACATTTTCAGATACTTATCCATTAATCACACTAATTGACTTTTGGGATTTTCTTTATATTGACAGTTTCACAAGCAACTGATTCAATGAGTTTTAAACAAAAGCTTTTACCCCTTATTGGAAAAGTAACACACACATACGCCGGCAGACAGACAGACATACATGCATTGCCTGCCCTTGAGTTTCAGAGAATATAACACTCTTATCATCTCTGTTGCAGAGCTCAGCACATAACGCTTAGATAACAGCCAGCCTCCACTTGTACCTGTAGACTCAGACTGTTCTGAAGGTTCTTTCACACTCACAACATTGGTACAAGGAACAAATAACTGAAGTGGCATTTTTCCCAGAAGAAATGTTGAAATATATGAACATTTATTAGTTATTACTTTCAGCTGCATCTAAAGTTTTGTACAGATTACAATAAAATAAATAAAATAAACACGTTGATTGTAAAGTTTGAGTTAGTTGTCAGAAAAAAGTTTATTTTGTATTGTCAAAGACATTTCCTTAATATTTATCCCCGTACGTATCAAAATCAATCTCCCTAATGTATTGGCTAACGTCATGAAATTATCTGTTGGATATAATCAGGTGCAAGTTACAAACACTTTGCTGCCCTGTGTGTGAAGCCCAGGCCACCGTTGTTGGAGAAATTACAACCCACTAGTCATGAGCTGGAATTAAAATAATGCTTGTTATCACGCAGGTATCGATTGTCCACTGGCAGCTGCGGTTGATGGACTGCAGAATGAAATCACCAGTTCTCTACAGTACACTTCAAGGATGTAATGTGTGGGGGGTTTTGTTCTGAAACAACAGGATTTGCAGTGACCCTCAGCTCATTTGAGTTGTGGACTCCTGCCTTAACACCAAGCAGTTGTGGGTTGTGTTGTTGTGCTGTGTCATGCACTGTGGCCACCAGTGTGGCTTTTGAAAAATGTCTACTACTTTTCACGCCTTATGCTCCTACTAAGTAAATATGAAAGGATAATACTTCTGGAATTCTTCTAAACTCCTTTGCCTTATTTAGCTCTAAGTCTTTGCCAAGGGCAAGGTTTTTATGAGGTTCTAGAAAGACACCGTGAAGTTCAGATGTTGAATAAAGTGTGTCTTGTATCATCCAAATATTGGTACGTCTTCCACAGACTCAAGTCGGCGCTGAGACATTTATTGTCTACCAGGGACCTCTTTCACCATTTAAAAATACAATAATCCTAGGATAACCCCGTCATTATGGATTAACCAAACACCTACTTTGTTTAATGAAATATTTTTTTCTTTACCTAACTAACAATGAAACAGATCCACCTTAAGACGTAGATCTGTCTGTTCATGCACACTCTTCAGAATTACCACAACCCGGTTTGGCCAAGCCACTCCTCCTAATCCTGGTTTTTATTCTGTATGAACTGCTCAAAGCCAGGATGAGGTGGCCTGGCTTGGTCAAGGCTGGCTTTGCCCTGTAATCCTGGATGTCTTAACTCTGCTTCTGTGAAACCTGAACACTGAAGAGCTTAGAAAAGGGTTGTGGATGTTTGTTTTGGATCGGATTCATTTAGCAGTGAGGTTCTGCCGTTTCCTGGTATTTTGAACCAGACACCGATGCTGTGACTCATCACTCCTGCGTCTTCATTACTACATTATTACATCAGTAGTCACGAGTTGAACCACGCCCATCTTTGAAAAGTGACAGCAATTAAATTGGCGAGTCTTTTACAGTGATGCTGGTTTTAGAACATTTTTGAGAGTAGCTTATTGGTTACCAGCAGAAAGTGAGGAGTGAACAACAAGAGCAGATGTTCACTTCCTTCATTAGGAGGCTGGTCTCTGTAGTCTTATGTGTTGTCAGACTTTTATCATTTAGTCTTAAAAATAAAGTGTTGATGGTTTTCTTTTTTTAAACTTACACTTTATTTTGCCACAATGTCTTTCTGATGGTTTCTCATTATACTGCACAGCCGTTAGGAATAACACTGAACATGAATGTGTTTCCACAGAGCCGACTGGTCCAACCAAGGTGGTGAGAGCTGGGAATCCACCCAAAACCAGACGAGGAGGAAAGGTAATAACCATTGTGTTTCAAATCCAGTGTATACTGTGAGTTCTTTTGGGATTTTGGGAAAAGAAACACATTTTGAAGTAACTACTGCGATAAGACTTCATTCTAGGAGATTCACAGAGTAAAGATGGAACCAACTAGAAACGAACAAAGATAGTGTAGAAGATTGGTCAATGTAGACATTTTCATTTACAAATCAGACAAAGAGATTATTAGCACTAATTTTAAAAGAAGAAATGACTATTATTTTCTTAGCCTGGATATTTTAACAGGGTAAATACTTTAAATATGCCAGAGGTTAAAAAGGTAAAGCCTAAAAGCTTATTTGTTCAGCAGTAAAATTAAAATTACTTTCTATAAATTTGCGCTAAAGGATAAAGAATAATTCAAATTACTCTACAACACAAATTTCAACATGTATAAGATTTTGTACCTGTTCCCATCAATAAGTATTAAAGGCTCTAAATAATAAAATAAAGAAAACAACAACAAAAAATAATAATTATACCAATAAGTACAGATACCATAGCCGGTTAAAAAAAGAAAACATTCCTCGTAACATGCCATTCACACTGACGGCACCCTACTCTGAGATTCCTAACCACGCCATTACCACAAACTTTACGTTTCCCTAACGCTAACAAAGGACTGTCACTCCCAGTTCAGAGATGAATGTTACCTGTTGTATGCAAATTGCTAGGTCAGTGTGTCTAAACATTTAGGACTTGCCCAAATGTGGACACTACCGGATGGATTGGTCGGGGTCTTGGACATTATCAGTATGTCTCATTGTCTGAATGAGGTTTAAGATTGTGATCAGTTTTGTTTTTTCTGGGCTCTAAAAATTAGACCAAGTTTAATTTCATTTTTTTTTTTCTGTGTGGTTTAGGTCGGAGACTTTGGTGATGCAAACAGCTGGCCCACACCGGGAGAGATGGCAACAAAGGACATGCAGGTAGGAGATGAGGTTGGTGTGAAACATCCTTGGATGGATTGTAGAACTAGATTGTTGAGTCATTTGCACGCAGACATACTTTGGTAATACAATTAGCTGTGTGACTGTTTTGCAAGAGCTGAAGAGTCTCCAGTCAAGGGGACGTGTAACAGAATGGAAGCAACTGTGTAAAGAGGTTTACAACACTGTAAAACCGTTCTATGATGATGGGTAGAGTCCGACTGTAACGTTAGAGGAGCAGACGATGAACTAAAAGTGAGGTATAGGACCTGCAGTGGTGGCGACTAAAGGGATCTGCCGAAGGTAAAAGGAACAGTTTTTATACAAATGAATAAAAGTTTATGACGACTTTTCAAGTTTAAGCTGGTGTTGAGGAGTTCCTCTATAACATTAACTCTTGTGATATTGTGAAACGGAGCTGCCAGGCCTCTAAAACTGCACTTAACATTGATAGATGTGCAGTTTTACCTATTAGCTGTTCTACTTGTTGTGACTAGTTACACTGCACACGCAGACACACGTCTACAACTGTCATTTTTACTGTGAAGACAAAACGAAGATGCTTGACCACAAATGAGATTTGTGATTACCAGAACATGTGAGTAGAGCAGTGACAATTGCTCAATAAGCTATTCGCCCTCTGGTCTCATGCTAAATGTCACGCTGTTAAGTTCAGCACCTTTTTCAGAGTTCTGGAGAGACTTACCCAACAATCTACTGGACCTCAAATAAAAAATCCTAAACACTTCATGAAGTTTGTGCTAAACCCACCAGCTAGCTCTGCTGAAGTCGCCTTTATTTTGGCAGTACCACTGTCGTGATGCTCAGTATTTTTAAAGTGAATGTACTGTCTGCGGCAAACAGGATAAATGAACTGCGACAGGATCAGATTATCAGCTCGTCATGACTGCAGACAGTCATGATGTCATGCAGCGTCAGTTAAGTGTCTGCAAATTGACCTACATGTAGTTATGAATGAAACAGTAGCTCCTTTCATTTTGGTATTATAAAATATCACCCATGTTGCCTGTTCTACACCCACCAGGGGTGTAGAGCAGGAAACACCCCTCTGTGGGGCTGGGGGGGGGGACCAGCCACTGTTGCTTAAAGAAATTCTAGCAGGAGCACTGAACCCCACTGTTCAGATGAGCCCACACTCAGTGGTGCGACCTGTTGTTTTAACTGCTGAGATTCTGATCGTAAAATAATCAACTTGAAGGTTTTATATATTGTGTTCCTTTCCACTTAATGCTGCCAGATAGTTTTGTTTTTTTTTTAGTGTTTTTTTTTCATTTTCAAGACTGTCCTGCAGCAAATAACAGCTTGGGGAAAATGTAGTGACTAAGGACATAAGACGACACCAGAAGTATTTATCTCTACGGTTAGCTCCCTTTCTTCTCAATAAATGCCCACAAACCTACGAGTGTAACTCATCCTACAGTAGTTCTGAAACAATTCACTTTTTCTGCACATTTGGTGGCAATGGGAAACAACAGCAGCAGCAGCAGTTGCCAGGTCACCAAAGCCTCCTGCTTTTTCCTAGCCCAGGACGGTAGTGTGTCACCAGTAGATTGACCCCAGTAACCCCCTCCCCCACTATTTTAGGCAGCCAGGTCTTGAGCGAACATGATGAAGGGCACATGTTCCTGTGCAGTAAAATGTGGGTCACTTCATCAGAGCCAGGAATAACCAACAGCTACAGTGGCAGTGAGCAGGTTTTAGATGGGGTTGCCAAACCCTAGGAAGGGATGTCCTTTTAGGGACCCCCCCCTTAAAAAAACCTTCACTAGGTTTGTACTGCTGCTGCTACTATACTTAGAGGGCGAGTGATCAGTGTCTATCATGTAATATTTAAAACTAACACCCAGTCAATGAAGTCCATGGGAGGAGCTTAAGAAAATGGTGTTGACGGTGAACTTGGCTTCTTCTTTTTACAAGGTTTTGAACTTGTGTTGCATATTTTACAGATTCATTTTTGGTGCCTTTAAAATTGACTGAGTAAATAACACCCTTTCCTTTAAAGTCCCGTCTTAAACAGAACAACCACAAGGTTGTTTGTCGATGATGCAGTTGATTTCCTTCAAAACAGAAATTAACAAGTTGATTATTTAAAACAAAAACAAATGCTCAGAATAGGAAGCAATGTGAACGTTATGGCTACACTGACATGTTCAAGTCCTACACAATCATTAAGCCATTCTGGTTGTGCGTCAACACTAATTTCCAAACATCTACATCTAAACATGTGGTAGCCTGTGATGATCATTAAAACACAAGTATTTGAGTTTGTCCATTTGGGGCTACTGTACTGCAAACACTGAACATAACTTCTTTTTTTTTGTTACATTTTTGATGTTAACTATGTAACACAAATTCTTTCAAAACCTTTTAATTCATTTTCAGTAGAAAAAAGAAAAGGAACAAAGACATTTAATATCTTCTGAGTAATTACTTATGGAAGTGTTTCATTTTTTTCTCTCTTTTTGCGACCAGTGGTCTAATATAGTTTTCTGACTCATCATAAGCTTTAAAGTGAGGCTTTGTGGAGTGTTTTTTTAATCATGTGTCAGTGGGTAGTTATACAAATAAATGATCAATAGCTTTGATGACAGTCTCAGTGGATATGAGAAGCTTCACTTCCCCTTCCCTGTGAAAGAATACAATAGGAACATCAGCATCAGTGTCCACATTTTCATGACCATCACACCCCCCATGTCTTGTCCCCAGTGATTCTAAAAAGTCACTCTGCCATTAACCAGCCACACCTGAGATTCTCCGCTAGTGTTGGTCCACCCAACTAAAAATAATCTCCTATTCCCATGTGCACCAAACACGGCTGTGAACACGGCCTACATTAGGCTGCCTCATTGTAATGACACAGCATTAGCCTGTTATCCACTGAAATAATATTGTATGTACTTGATAAACCCCAGAGAGAGCTCAGTGGAAACAGCAGATCATCCACAGCTTGTGAAGCTTTCCCTTGGCTCTCTGATTGTGTTTGGTGGCATCACAAAGTAGCGTGAAATGCTCATGATGTTTGGACATAGAAAATGAGCAACAGAAGAGCTTCTGAAGAGGCAACGTTTTAGCATTTGAATTCTTCTCCATCATGGCCCACAGCAATGGAGTATTCCATCATTCTCCTTGACATGCCATTGACACTGACTAGACTTACATCTCATGTTCATGTTTTTTTTTTTTTTAATGTCTGATTTCCTTTTAGTTTGTCTGTGTGTGTGTACATCATTGTCCACCCCATTGTCTCCTCTAAACGCCTCTTCCCTCCCTCTATTCAGATCGAGACAGTGACACGGACCGTGTCCTGTCCGCCGACTGTCAGGCAGGTCAAAGACTCGTGGAGATTCAGTGTAAGTTCAACCTGTAGCCTGAGGAAAACTGCAGTCTGTCAATGGTTGACAGTTTGTCACTGCATCTGTTTTTTTTTTGTCCGTATGAATCTAATAATAACACAAAGGCCTCACCAAACAGTTTGAATTCACAGTATAGAGCCCGGCTATAAAAATGACGTTAAGCCCAAAAATGGTGGAGAAAAAGAAATTCAATTAGAGAATTTTTTTTTAGAATTCTTGGGGAAGCCCTTGTCCCAGAACATTTTTTAGTCTGAAATCCTGTTCCTTTGACGTTTATTTCAGTCATTGTAAGAAAAAAATGTTAAAAAAGTCAAATTTAGTTAGAAAATAATCTTTGCTCTGGTTTCAAAATTGTTGATGTCTCACGTCAATAATAAACTTGCACAAACTGTTCCAGATGCCTGATAGATGTAGTCACTGGTTTAATAGTTGGACAGCTTTTGGAATTATATCATCTCTGTTAGAACGTTTTCATTTACCTTTACCTGTCTGTCTGATTTAATAACTGCTGAACAGAAGAATCCTTAATTCTGACATCTTATCCTATCCCTACCCCTGGCTAAGTAAGAGAAAAGGTAAAAAAATATGTTCTACTTTCATAGAGGTCGTTCCTTTGCATCTCAACAACCATTTAAGCAAATTAGTTAAGAGAATCATTGGCAGTGTTATGTAAAAAAAAAAGAAAAAAAAAAGCTCAACATATTCTTCTGGATGGACAGAGGTGGCAGCAAAATGTTCAAAGAAGTAGTGTATTTATATTTATTTTTTTAGTATTTTTTTTATTCATTTATTTCATTCAGTAAATAATAATTCTATTATAATTAGTGATTATGTTTTTGGATAAGGCCAACCCAAGGGCAGTGACTGTGAGAGTGGAACCCACTGTGATAAGCTGTTGCACAATGTCAAGTTATTTTAATCCTCAAAGGTTTGCTGAGTGACTCAGCTGGTTTAAAATACATGCACAAAGGTAACCATTGGTTCCAGAATTCCCCAGATGTTGCAGGTCAGAGTTTCCGTAGTTCATTGTCTTTGTTAAACCATCGATGTTTGACTGTGGGACAGAAATCATCACTACAACAGAGTAGAAAATCTGGAGCTACTTCCGTCTAAGTCATGGTTTATGCACAGGAATCAGGGTTCTCTGTAGAGTCTCCAATTCTCTGAAGAACTTCCTGTGCGTGATGATTGTCACCCAGATTTCACTGCAATTGTATAAATAATAGTGTCATGAAGATGCTGCTGCTTTGATGAATGCTGCTCTTGTTTCTGAACTCTGCGTTTCCTAATTGATTTCAAAATAATTTGCTGTTCGCATGCTCTCCTAGAAATTGCTTATTTCCAGATGTGCGTTGTGTCCTGTTTGTTGTTTGTTTGCCGAGACCCACGGATAATTTTCAAGCATGTTTAAAAGTGTGGTCAGATCAGCCAGCAGTGTGACAGAACGAAGACGAAGCATGCCCTGCTCTGTATTTGCCTACACAGGCTGAACCATTTGGGTTATGAATTGTGTTTCTCCTAATCTTGAGTTATTCACCCGTCTTTACTCAGACACACTTTGCATGACTCTGTGGACAAACCCTCGGGAGTATCAGGCTGTGAAGTCATGTGCGCAGCTGATAGCTGAGCCGCAGCAGTAGCAAGGAGCGGCCCTGCTCTGTTTAATTTTAATAAACGTAGATATTGGCTCTGTGAGCAGAGATAAAGCCCACAGCCATCTCCATATGTGAGCCCAGGCTCACTCACAGTTGTTACTGTGAGTGAGCCTGGGCTTGGTCGCAGGATGCTGGATTAGCTCGTATTGCTACACAGAGGCCAAAAAATACAGTCAGGATAAATCTGCAATATAGAAACTGACCATCAGTGAGAAAGATGCATTTGTAGAGTTTTTCCTTTTTTTTTTCATTTCATTTTAAAAACCTTCATGACTTGGAAATCCCTTGCTACAATAACATACTGTTAAACCCAATTTAATTGCCTCGGTTGTTGGGCATAAGACACAAAATAAAAGACTCATTTGTTTGGTTGTTTTTTTGTTTATTTTAAGGTAATTATTTCTTCCTCTGTGACATTTTTATATCAATGTTTGGTGACATTTGTGTTTCTGTTGGTCTTTTAAGGTAATTTTGCCAATTTATCTTTAATGAGTGAAGGTTTGTTTTAATTAATTTGTGTGACCTTTTGCAATATTACAGGTATTTCACAACCAACTACCAGGTGCACTGTTTATTTTTGCACCCCCTAAATAAGTGTTTCCTCGAACAAAGGGAATTGTTCAGTGAGCAAATTACAAAACAGTTCAGTTTCCATACAGCAGAACAATAAATAAATGAATGTGTTTGGCTGCGCACCCCCGTGTTAGCTCTGCGGGCCCTAGGAGGGCTATGCCCCCCAATTTGGGAAACGTTGATGTAAAAGTTGATGTAAAAGTTGCATGTTGAGGTTAAATGACTCTGGACTCATTTTTTCTATTATTATAGTTTTTGTAATTTATAAATTGCATCACAGTCATCTACTTCTGTTACTGAAAACACTTCCTGACAGCTTCATATCTCTCTCACTGACACTAAAAACGAAACAAAAGTGAAATGTCAAACAATACAAAACTTTACAGTAGGCTTGTGCCCTTCTTTGTCATCAAGAGAAACTGAATTTGCAGATTTTTTTTTTTAGCAGTGAGTGACCAGTGAGTAACCTAAAGCTAAAATGTAATCTTTAAGCTTCTTTGCTCAATCTCTTAGCTAAATTGGTACCTGTTTTGTCCCCAGGTGCCGAAGAGGACAATGAACAAGAAGGAGTCGAAGGAAAAGAGGGAGAGCAACGAGGAGAGCAAGGAGAACCTGAAGGCCAAGTCTGACGACTCTGGAGAGGAGAAGAATGGTGACGACGACTCCCAGAAGAATGGCCCCAAGAAGAAAGGTAAAGCGTTCTGGACACTCAACATGCTGAAGTCCTATGAAGTACAGTATGTGAATGGTGTTACAGCAGTATTCAGGTGTGTGTGTTTTTAATTAACCTGCTGATTTAAAGTTTCACTGTCAAACTCCCACTGGTACAAAGGGGAAAAAGCTGTTAAGTGATGAAACTTTCTGTTTTGGCTTTTAATTTTTTGGCTTTTAATTTCAAAACTTTCAAACACCACAGGGGTGTTTGAAAGTTTTGAGTTTTTTTCCCCTCAAACTTTCTAAAAAACATTTGTTTTTTTTTTACTCTGTTAACCAACACTATCACCAGTGAGTAAACACTTATTTGTAAAGATGTACTGTGGTGACCTGGTCAAAAACGATTCACTTCACCAACAATTTAGCACGCCATGCAGTGATCTGAAATGAATCACAAAAATATCCCAACTTGAACTGTTTTGTTAGAATTAAGTTGCACCGCTTAAAATATTTCTAAACTTTTTAGAAGGTCGTCAGATGGGTTGGAGGTCTTGTGACTGAATCACTTTTCTGATACGATTTCTCTCAGAGACCAGTGTAGACTTCATTGAGAAGAGGACTGTCTGTGGCGATCTCCAGGCTCTTTCTAACTTTTAGAAACAACACTGGAATAGAAATGCACTGGCGGGGACTTTGTTATGGAAGCACGTGTGCGCGTCACCAGAGGCAACTGAACAGCATCCAGTGTGCTCAGAACTATCTTTGTCCCAACATAGACTTCCAAAGTGCCTTAAAGGCAGATTTATCCCAGTTACCCACTGACATGTACCCATTACTCTGCCCATAGTTTTTCATTAGTAAAGTTGTGATGTGCCTGTCATACAGTAAGCGCTGCAGAAGTGATGAGTACTTCATGTCTCTTCTCTGACTAAACATCAATGAAGAGCTATTTTACAACTCTGATCTCAGCATCAAATTTAAATGGCACTAACTCACATGAAGGCCTGGGATGTAGTTGAACAATCAGCTGTTTTAGATGAACTTTAGATGAAATGTTGTCATGATAAATAATTGTTTTTCGTTGTTGTTTGTCATATTTTATATTTTGCCATTTTAAAGTGTGACCTTTGATTTTATGAGGCACGTTGTTAACAGTCTCACTGAAACATCCTCACATTACTCCATTATGTTTTCCCACCGCTTCATATATGGACGTCAGATCACTGATGCCACCTGATGGCTAATATATGTATTGCATCAGCAAACAAATACTGGCGTCAGTGACACTGACTACTTGTATAGTCGTTCTGGCTTGTTCTGTAATGCTTACTTTCTTTAAATCGGATTACCAGTGTGAAAGGTCATCAATATAGGTTTTATATATGCCAAATATAAATGTAAAAGTTCTGAACATATTAAAAAAAATTAATTCATGTTCAATAAGTTCTATATTATAATTATATGGATTAAAGAACACTCATAGATTAGGATCAATTTAAATCAAAAGACGATCAAGTGAAGCTCATCCTCTTCAACTCTGTTTAAAAACAGGAAACAAGCAGAAGTGGGTTCCCCTGATGATCGAGGTGAAGTCTGAGGGTCCCAGGGAGCGCTCTGCCTCCAGGAACAACAGCCGACAGAACGAAAACCCCCGCATCCCGCCGAATGCCAGGAATGACCTCAGAGGTGAGTCAGTGATGTCATCGTACCGCAGTGACATCACTCGAACAAAAGGCTGACATTTTAAAGCCATTAATTGTCAAAGATTAATGAACATAAATGTGTACCTGATATTACGTTGATACATGCAGTGTGTTCCTGTTTCTGGTTGGCTTAAGAATTAGTTTTCCCTTTTACACTTTGTGCTGCTCTGTGTCTTTAAGCACATTAGCTGAATAAAGCTGTGCACATGACTCAGCATGACCATGTCAGTTTTTGTGCTAATTTTTCAACCACTTCTGCTTTTATATCATTTTTCTGCACCTGTTTAAATAACTTGGTGTCCTTCCTTTTCCCCCCAAACTATCAAATGGTCACATCAGTTGGCGTGTGTCTGTATTTGAGGTCTTGAGAGAGTTTTTTATTTTTTTATTTTGCTGGCCTGGATGCAGGTAATCATGCTGTGCTTTGTTGTTGCCCCCACAGACTGGCACAGTCAGAAGTATGAGCGGGAGTGGCGTGACGATCATGACGAGGTGTCCAGTGTGAAGAGTGAAGGGGCCCCATTCCGTGGGGGCTTTAGAGGTCGTGGGCGTGGAAGAGGGAGAGGCCGTGGACGAGGGAGAGGAAGTGGAAGAGGTAGTAATATTTTTAAGCTGATACTGTAGATGCAGAAGACAAGCTGAAAAGTTATTATGAAGTATTTGAAACCAGTAAAATAAGTATCGCTGCAAACTAAAACCTGTGTGAATAGCAACATTTAAAAAAGAGAGGAAGTGGTAAGTATTTAACCTTTATTTGTTATTAAGATAGGAACAGCTAAATATAAATACACAAGGCTAATGTAGATATTTACACAACAGGCACCGTTGATTAAAATGAATGCCCAAAATGTAGCACTAAAAGCCCAAAATCTCTTGGTTCAAACACCAAGCCAGAGTGCGGTCTGGTCAGCTTTCTTCATCTGCCTCTATAATATACATGAATTTACAATATTTCAAAATGGGTAGAGGTTCAGTATTGAGCCACGTGTGAATGGAAGCTGTCCTGTAAAATAGAGGTTCAGTATAGAGCCACGTGTCCTGTAAGCATTACATGCTGCATGTAGAGGCATTGTATTGTTCATATCCAGCCTGCAGATGTGCTGATAAAATGATGAGTTTGTCATGTCTCTTCTCTGACTCAACATGGCCATGGAGAGAACTTTCACACCTCTGATCTCAGCATTGAAACAAAATCATGTCACTTCTTTGTCTGTGGTGGCTCACTTTGTCTTGTATCACTTCACAAAAGGAAAACTTCAGAGTTGTTAAAATCTCTGGGTAGACTATATATGGGTTTGCCAAAAACTACCAAGACAAATTAATAAAAAGATGAAAATGGCAGTATTTTCTCAACATGTCTTTCATTTAAGAGCCCTCTTGGTTGTTTTTGTTTTTTTATATGTATATATTTGAACATTGTCCTAGCTTCTTTAACACAAGTATCTTTCTTCTCCAGGCCACTATGACTATCACTACAGCTACAAGTCCTACGATATGAAAGACGGCTCCTATGGACAAAAGTTCGGCAACTCTGTGACCTACTACTACGACAACATGAGCAGCAACGACCTGTACTCTGTGGACCAGGACCTGCTGAAGGACTACATCAAGAGACAAATGTAAGTCGGCCTGAATGAATGCATATGTTTTCTGTAGTGTTTCTCATTTTCCCCTTCCATAGAAAGTCTTTTCAATCTTGCTATGTTAAGAAAAGAAAAGTGACTGCATTTATATGCTTAAAACATGGGGCACAAACTCCTGGCTTGGAGACCATTTTAATCCCACGAACCCCCAACAGCCAGCCCACGACTGGATTTCAAAAATAATTTTTCAGAAAAAAATAAGATCAGTGGAGCTGAAATTAAAATTAATTGATTGTGCACATCCTCTCTCCCTGTAGTGAGTACTACTTCAGTCTGGAAAATTTGGAGCGGGACTTCTTTCTGCGTAGAAAGATGGACCAGGAGGGTTTCTTGCCAGTTGGACTCGTCGCCAGTTTCCACAGAGTTCAGGCCCTCACTACTGACGTCAACCTCATCCTGGAAGTAAGAACTTTTCTTTGGCTTCACAGATCTAGTAAAAAAAAACCCCACACATTTCATCGGTCAGTGGACTCCAGGAATGTCTTTGTTTCAGTTATTATTTCAGTTTATTTCAGTTGTTATTACTTATCAATACTGTTGTGCGATGCAGATGTTCTGAGACAGATTGACTAAGATCTTAAACTCCTGCCGTTTTCTACTGTCAGGCTTTGAAGGACAGTAAAGAGGTGGAGCTGATCGACATGAAGATTCGTCGAAAGGTGGACCCTGAGAAGTGGCCTCTTCCAGGCATGAACCTGCCTAACCAAACACACACCGACTTCTCCCAGCTAATAAACTGCCCTGAGTTTGTCCCCAGACAAGTGACTGAGGAGCCCGCAGGTCAGTGTGCTCACTCAGACATGCCTTGCCTTCCGCAGCTCACGTATCTGTTAATATGCAGTTGTAACTTAAATTGTCTTTGCAGCCAGTAACAGTTGAGTGTTGTGTTGGTGTTCTGCAGGGTCTCCCAGGGCGTCCACACCAGTGCACCAACAGACCAAGACTGAATTGGACGTGTCCAACCTCAAGACCATGCCCAAGGGCCTCTCGGCCAGCCTCCCCGATCTGGACTCTGAGTCCTGGATTGAGGTCAAGAAGAGGCCCAGACCATCTCTGGCTAGACCAAAGGTCAGCAGTGAGAAGGTGAAATTCAGTGTTGTTTGTAAAGTTTGGAGTGATGTGTGATTTGACGTCATAGACCTATGAGCACTGGTGTTATTTTATTCCACACATCAAGTTTTATATTCTGTAGGTAGAAATATGAGATGCTTGGAGAGAGAGTCAGTTGTTCCATGGGTGGATTTTTAATTTCAGGGGACGAATACCAGACATTTTAACTGCTTCTCTTAAAAAGCAGATTAATTGTTAAATGTTTGTTGATGTTATTCATATAGCAGTACTTTAACATAACATGTCCAACGTATAAACTACTGTGGAGTTCACACTCCATACCACACATGAATGGAAGCTGTCCTGTCAACTTTACATGCTGCATGTAAGACATTGCATTGTTCACGTCCAGCCTGCAGATGTGCTGATAGAATGATGAGTTTGTCATGTCTCTTCTCTGACTCAACATGGCCATGGAGAGAACTTTCACACCTCTGATCTCAGCATTGAAGCTGCTATGAAACTACTATAGAGTTCATCGTTTAACTTTGCAAAACTACGAACATTTATGATTTAATTTTTTTAAAATAATCCCTACCTTTAGTCCTTAAAGATTGGTTATGTCACAGTCGCTCCTCATCCTTCATTTTTACACCATTTTACAGTTTGTCCTCTCCCCATTTCTTTTCAACCTTTTGTAATTTTTATTTTTCTGTTTACATCTTCTACATCTCATCATCACCCTCCTTTTTTCCCTCCCATTTGCTCCTGTTTGGTTGACGTAGATCTCCTCATTGCAGCAGAAGGAAAAGGAAGAAAGTGTTAGATTGCCGGTGCCACAGACTGGTTCGTCACCCTCACCAGCTACCTCAGGAAATAAGGTGTGTTTAAACCTTCTGTCTTGTTGCTACTTTTTATCACCGACCAAAGTTTACAATATAATATCTGTAGTTATTTTAATAATCATCATCATACTGAAACTTTTGATGACTGGCTTTTTTTATTATTATTGTTTGATTTGACCTCGATCAGGATGGAGCCGAGCAAGATGAACCAGAGGAGCTGGACTTCATGTTTGACGAGGAGATGGAACAGATGGACGGGCGACGCAACACCTTCACCGACTGGTCAGACGAGGACTCGGACGGAGAAATCGACGACCAGGACGTCAACAAGATTCTAATTGTCACACAGACGCCTCCTTACCTGAGGAAGCACCCGGGTGGCGACCGCACCGGCAACCATACTTCTCGCGCCAAGTTGACCAGCGAGCTGGTCAAGGTGATCAACGACGGGCTCTTTTACTATGAGCAGGACCTGTGGGAGGACAACTACGAGCCGGAGTATGCAACAATCAAGGTGAGATCTGGAGTGAAAGAAGATCTGTAGTTTGCTGCGAGTCGGCAGTTGATCCCTTTTGTTCAGGCACAGAGGCATTAACAGTCAGCTTAAAAACACTAGTAATAAAAGCTACATTATTCATCATCAAATTGAGATGATGATTTTAACCCCTTTGTTTTGTTCAACTGGACCATTGTGAGGTTTGCTTGCTAACAGCAGAACTATCAGATTAATGTAAAAAAAACTTAATTTTATAAATGTTGTCAATAATTCATTTCTAATCTTAACCACTCTGAACTAATATTTATTGCCTAAACCTGTAGGGTCATGTGGCTTTTTCTGTCGATGGCATTTTAGCAGGGTCTCGGCTTAAGTTCAGATGATGAGTTCTTTTCCCCTCATCCAGAGCTGTTTCTGGACATAGAACAGAGCAGAGTTTTTATTGTTTTGCTTTGTCATTGCTGCTCTTTGTTTTGCTGCTGAGCTCTTTGTGGGACTTTCACGTGTTCGTTCACACACATCCAGGGCCGCGTAGAACAGTGGACACTTGTCTATAATTAAACCACTCACACACGCACATCAGGGTTCGACAAGAAGGACATTCGCACATCATAGGAAAGCAGGTGGATCAGAGAGGAAGAGTGTGAGTCGCACTTCATCTAAATCGATGCTGGATTAAAGGAGGAAACTCTTTTGTGTTTGTGATCTTTGTCAGCTGCTGTTTCAGAAAAAGACAGAATCTGTTGTTTTACCAAAGGACGGAAAATTCAGGGTTTGTGTGGCAGTGACCCAGCTGAGTTTGCTGTCGAAACAGTGAGGCTCATCAAACATGAGGGTAAAAAAAGCTTTTTGGGCAGTCTGGTTTTGCTGCTGCATCGCAATCTCCAGGTTGCTCCAGTTGAGGTCTGTTCATCTACAAAGGTGTTCGCTTTCATTTTAAAACCCCCAGTGATGTATTTGTTTCGGTGGATCATGAGGGTCAAAAATTGAATTTGTTTTGAATTAACATTCTTGAATCTTGACATGTAAAGCTTCTTTTAAAGTGTGTGATGCCATGTGGACGAGTCGATCCTCAGGGTTTCATGTGTCAGGTTGTTAAATTGAAGTATCATTAATGTATATTTTCCCTTTTTTGTTCTTTATAGCAAGAAGTGGAGAACTTCAAGAAAGTTCATCTGATCACTCGTGAAGAGTTTGACTGTCTGACGCCTGAACCCCAGGTTGACCCTAACCAGGAAGTCCCACCAGGTCCACCCCGACCCCAGCAGAGTAAGAACACAAAAGCTTAGACAAAATAATTGTCAGACTCAAAATCAGTGTTTATTGGACACATACCAAGAATCTGACTTTGTGTGTTGGTGCATTATATTAAAATAAAATTACAAAAAGAAATATAAAATATGTAGATCCAGAGTCACTGACTTGAACACACAGATTACCTTGGCTCTAAAACTTATGTCTTCTCCCATGTCCTCAGTTCCCACAGACGCTTTGGCCAACAAACTCTTTGGCGCTCCTGAGCCCTCCTCAATAGCCCGCTCTCTCCCCACTACTGTGCCTGACTCGCCCAATTACCGCAGTGCCCGGACGCCTCGCACACCGCGCACACCACACCGTAAAGACCCGACCATGACGCCGCGCTTCTACCCAGTGGTGAAAGAAAGTCGACCTGTTGACGCCAAAGTAAGAAAGATGCAGATTATTCGGAAGCCACTGCTGTCTTGTTTTGTTACGTACATAGCTGGTTTCAGTCCATTCTGACAAAATGTGTCCCCCCGAACCTCCCCTGAATGTTTTTGTAGACGCCCAGAAAGAGAAAGACCAGGCACAGCTCAAATCCACCTATGGAGTGTCACGTAGGCTGGGTGATGGACTCCAGGGAGCATCGGTCACGTACGGCCTCTGTCAGGTGAGCCCCTAAATTAAAAGAAAAAAAATCTACTTCGGTCGGAGACAAAAGCCCTTCCTTTTCTCACTCTCCTACTTGTGTGTCTCTCAGCTCTAATGCCAGTCCCTCGGAGGGCACTCCTGCCCTGGGCAACATCGGCTGCACGCCCCAGTCCCTTCCCAAATTCCAGCACCCATCACACGAGCTGCTCAAGGAGAACGGCTTCACGCAACACGTTTACCACAAGTATCGTCGACGCTGCCTAAATGGTACACACTCGTGTGTCATAACCTCACTGTATCCCTTCTATAAACATTAGTAGTTAGCCTTTTTACTGAGAGCGATGCTGGATTAAGCTGAGTCAATTCATCTTTTACTTTATAATTTTCTCAACAGAACGCAAGCGGCTGGGAATCGGCCAATCACAGGAGATGAACACGCTCTTCCGCTTCTGGTCATTTTTCCTGCGAGATCATTTCAACAGGAAGATGTATGAAGAGTTTAGACAACTGGTGGTGGAGGACGGGAAAGAGGGATACAGGTGAGACCACTGACCAGTGATGGGGGGAGGGGAGGGTCTTTTGTCTTTTGTGTGCACTGTGACCTTACACCCATACAGGAACGGTGCTTCACTTTGGTCTCTAGCTGTGATGGACTGTTTGCCACAGTCAGTCTCTCCCTCAAACATTGTTCCTTCACGGTTGTTGTTCTGTGCTGCAGGTACGGTTTGGAGTGCCTCTTCAGGTACTACAGCTACGGACTGGAGAAGAAGTTCAGGCCCGATATCTTTAAGGACTTCCAGGAGGAGACGATGAAAGACTATGAAGCTGGTGAGCAGAACTTAACATTCTAGTTCCAGGGCGACACTGGAATTTGACGGGTATTTTCAAAGTCTGTGGGTCACTATATCTATATTACACTGTTTCTTAAAAAATGTGGACCACAAAAAAAAAAATCTTGCCACATCATTGTTTTAAACTTCATAACTACTTTTCCGCCTAAAGGTCAACTTTACGGACTGGAGAAATTCTGGGCATTTTTGAAGTATTCTAAAGCCAAAACCCTGGAGATTGATCCTAAGCTGCAGGTGTGCCTGAGCAAGTTCAAGCGTCTGGAAGACTTTAGGATTGATGTAAGTATAATTAAAAAAAAATCTATAAGTATATATGTATATATATTTAGCATGACTGTGACCACCAAATCATTTTGAAATCCTCACCTTTGATCTGATTTGACATTTGATTTCTTTCCTTTCGTTGTTCTAGCCACCTATGGAGGAGGGAGGAGGACGCAGGAGGCACTCGTCCAGCGGAGACGGGAGACGCAGACACCCCTCACAGCCTTCCAGCCGGCCCCACAGCCAGGCCAGCACAGGCCCTGCCCCACAGGGCCCCACAGCCAAGGACGATGCCAAACCCAGCAGCCAGAAACCCTCCAGCTCCGAACCTGCTGCAGACGCCAAGATTCTGAAGTAACTTCTCTAACAAACACACACTGACACTGGCCCGCATGGATCAGCTCAACCACATCTGAAAGATGCCAGTTTTACCAGTGGAAAAGGTGGGGGGACGTAGCATCTCAATATTAGAATTTTTTTTTTCCCCAGTATTTTTTTTTTATTGAGAAACAAGGAAGACAACAATAAAAAGTGAGCATTTTTAAAACATTAGAATATGTGATATCAAGGCTTTTTTTCTCCTCACACCATTGCTGGATGGTTTATGCTATGATGGATTACTTTTTTTTTTTAAATCCCCCCGCCCCCACCACTGATACCACCGGAACTTACTATTTGATCAACGCTGTGCACAGTGGCTGAAAGATTTTTGATTTTCTGCCTAGCTCTCAGATTGGTGAATATAATTTTTATTTTTTGGCGTGTGGTGGGATTGAACACTTGGACACAGTTTGAACTTGACTGAGCTTCTGAAAAATCCCACTGACGGCTGCCGTGGAGGCCATGCTGACCCCCCCTCCCCCTCCCCGATATTCACCCGGACCAAAGTGGTTTGAACAAAGCGACAGACATTTTCATCCACAGGGCCACCAGTGCTGTCTGCTACAGAGGCATGCAAAAAAAGAGTACAAAAGAAATATTTGATTTACTTTATGGCTGGACTGTGAACGGGGGACAATTTAAAGCCAAATGATTAAAAAAAAAGAAAGATGAAGAGACCCGTGGGACCCCCTCGGTGTGGACATGATGATTGAAAGTTGCCTTATTTTAATGGTTTTACTGCTTCAAACTTGTTCCTCATCACCTGATTGTTGAAATCACCCATAGATGCCACCAAGTGGCGCTGCACCCACCGAACTGTTCCACCACACTACTCCTGCCCATTATCTGTTTTCAGCTGTCTTCCAAGTGTCATATGGTCTGTTACAAGTCCAGTCCAGTCCAGTCCAGTCCAGTCCAGTAGTCCTCCGCTGTGTTTGCAGTCTGTGGCTTTTTTCTGCTGAAACACATCAAATCACATCTCCTCTTCCCCCACCAAAACCATCTCTGGGTGCTTCCATCCGTGACTCCATCCATCTGTTGACCTTCAGTGACACTAAAGGACTGTCGTCATCTTTCTGGATTACTTGAAGAAAGGATGGTTATTTCTGAGGTGATCTTTATCCAGAGACAAAAACAAGGCTCAAACGCTAGACTTCGCCATCACCCAGCCGGCCCGCTGCCTCCTCCTTCAGTTACACAAACGCTGGATGGCGCAGTTGCGCACAGGTACAGATGTAGCAGTAGCCTCATTTAAAAACTAAAACACGCCGCAACGTTGTGGATTCAGGACAAAGGATGTCAGATACTGATCCTTTATTTTTGTTCCTCTAATAATATAAATGTGAATTTGACAGATGAAGAGAAATGATTACAGCTCCCGGCTCCTCCTATTATTGTTTATAGAACAGATTATATATTTGCCTTACATGTGTACGTACTCTAACTTTTTTTTTTTTAAATGGTCTCATTATCTTTTAATGCTTTTTAATTTCAATTTGCAGTGTTTTTTTCTAGCATTGTTTTGATGATGATGAAGGTGGAGTTGTGTTAGGCTGATGTGTGGGGGGGGATTACATCTGTGAACTTTTATTTAGAGTCAGGAACATGGTTCACATCACAAAAAAGGGAAAGTTCAGAGATTCAGTAAAAAGTGTTTTTGCCAAAATGACAATACGGCCAAAGGAAATAGATTGTGAATATTCATCCTTAACATGGTGTTCTTCAAAGGTGACAAAAATGTTGCCTCACTTTTTTAAAAAGAGTTAATCAGATCTGAGTTTGGGGGAAAAAAAACTTGAGTCTTGAGTCTTAATGTACACAGACACATCATCTGATTCCTCAACGCAGCGCCCCCTTCAGTCATTAACAGACTGTGTGATTAGGTCTGGTCTCTGTATCTTTTGGTTGTTGGATTTTTTTTCTTCTTTAAAAAAAGACTGATGTTTAAAAATAAGTTATTTGAAAACAACACAGGATTAAAGGTTTTGTTGGTCACCGCAGGTCAGGTAGCTCACTCTCTCACCTTCAGGGGGAGCTATTGAGGCAGGGTAGTTCATGTACTGTTTCACTGTACTGCAGTACTGACATTTATATTTGTACATTTTTGTACAGGTTGCAAAAAACATGCATTTTGTCCTTTCTTTATTACACAGACCACATATTTGACAACCTTTATGCAACTTAATTTAAAAGGAGCTCTTCTTGAGCTTCCTCCAACTTTTAAAGTTTGGGGGGTTTTAGTCTAGGGTCCTTTGTGTGTCATCGCTGCCCCCGTTGCACCTCTAAAATTAATCATTTCCAAAAAACAACCATTTAAAAAAAGGGAAATTGTTGTAAATCCATACATAGGATATTACACTATGAAAACTTATACATTTTTATTTTAAATTAGTACAGGAAACCACCGTGAGGTTCTTTTTGGGCAACAATAATGCAGCGACTGTTCATGTTTGATGCTTCATTAACCAAGAAAAATCCAATGACCAAAAGACAGTCATTTTGAAATGTTAAAATGCTTCTGAGGAATCAAGACAGAAAACAAAATGTTGTAGAAAGAACTTTTTTTTTAGTTCTAATCATTCATTCTGTTGGTTTCAGTTCCTGCTAAAAAGTTAATATTAAGTCAGTGTTTCTTCACCACTTCCTCTAAACTCTAAAATGATGAAAAAGCAAAGCTGTACTTTTCCTTTCAATGTCACGTCAGTGGAACTTCAGGGAGATTGGGGGCAGTTAGAGACACATATGTTGTTGAGTTCTTCACAAAGATTTACAGAGAGTTGGATTAAAAAAAAAAAGTTATATTCAGAAAGGCAGAATTACACAAATTTCTACAAAAAAAAAAAAAAGAGAAAATCATGAGAATCCAGCAAAAGCTGGTTTCAACAGCTTTCCTCCTGTGTCACATCCCTCTGACATTTCGGGAGGACTGCTGATTGGCGTCTTTGCAAAAACAGTAGGGGGCAGTGCTCTCTCTGCTGATCAGATATACAAAGACTTGACCAGAGGAATGAGCAATGGATGTTGGGAAGAGGAAGAGGAAGTTGCAGAGAGTAATTTGGTGAGTTAATGATGTCTGGAGATAAAAAAAAAATGAATAGAGGACAAAATTCCATAAAGCCATATGAATAAGAAGATAACTGTATATGAACCATTCAGATTCACCACACCACAATATCCTAAGCTTGTCATGGAGAAAAAAAGCTGAAAATGAGGAAAAGAACAAAAAAAATATATAAAATGGAAAAATGTAAAATACTTGAATGAGGTCTTGTATAATATCATTTAATATTCATAATATCTGCTTTGTAGGCTGATGTGATTCGCGATTAGTGTTATTTGTAATTTGTAGTAATTCTGCTTTCCTTTAATAAAGAAAAAAAAAACACAAAACGGACAAAAAAACCTCAAACACACCGACTCTGGAGTGTTTACTCTGTCTGTCTCTCTCTGTGTGTGTGTGTGTGTGTCAAGTTGCCACGCCATTTTATTTTGTTTAATTTTTCTTTATTTTTTTTTTCAAATCTTTCACAGATATAATTATTTAAAAGTCACAGATTTTTAAAGGCAACATTCTGTTCACTTCAAGTTTCCCTGGAAAACATTCACATTTCAGTTCAAATCTGTGCTGAAGTGCCATGGAAGTAAAAAGTGCAGAACTATCTCTTTGTAGCAGCAAGTCAACTTGGAGGACAAGCTATGAACCAAAGCCTGTATGTTAGGACTGGACATTGTACATTACAATTACAGAGCGATACTATGGACAGCGTAAAGAAAGTACTTTCCATGAGTTTTAGTCTCAAAATGATTAATAAGACAATAACTCTTTAAAATCCTGTTTAAAAGAAAATAGGTGGTAAAGTGGATTGTGTTCTCGCTTTACGGCAAGATGGTTACTTACTTTTACCTGCTTTATTTGTGGATCGTAAGTCTTTGTCCGAATCCTGTCCACAGTCTATGACATAAACAAGTCTCTATAGCATAAAAAAAATACAAAATCTGTTTTAAAAATCAACACAGCATGGATCTTCATTGTTGGACATTTAACAATTTAACTGTTAAAAGAAATGTACTCTCAACTAGAATATAATTAATACAACTATATTTTCAGTACCAACCCTTTTCAATTTATAAAAAAATCATATATATTCAAAAGTCAATATATTAAGTTGTCATTGATGACATTTAAGGTCATTTAAGATCCTTGCCAAATGGCACAATTTATATTTGAAAAATCCCACAGTGCACCACCACACAGAAAAATCACCAAAAGTATGTGATGAAATGTGATATATGGTATGTTGAAACCTTCTGGCTTCACCTTACTCAAAATGTACTTGCTCGTGAAACATGGGCTGGTTTAGTTGAACACATTGCTGATATACAGCAGGTGAGTCCTTTTTTTTAGTTTTTATGGTCATCTGCTACCACCTTGTGGAAGAGTATTAAATGGTTTTGTCTGTAATGTGTTTAATTTATAAAAATATATTTTCTATTTAAAATAATCATCTCAACACTAAACACTGAGGCTAAACTTATACATGAAATTTGTTCCTGCAGTTTTAGTTTAAAAATATTATTACTTGGTGAATTAACAATAAAACCATGGACAGTCTGAGGAGCTTAGACTAAAATCAGGTCTACAGTCCAGTGTTTCTGGTTCCCATTCTAAATGCCACTTCTTTGAGTTCTGTCTCCACAGATCAGAGGGAACTTGTCTTCACTGGCCTTTCTTGGGTGAGTCAGGGATGCTCTCATTCAGTGGGGTGAAGTTGATGAGCATAACGTGACGTTCGTACTGTTTGGTCTCCCTGAATTTACTGTCTGTGCCGTGGAGCCGGTCCAGGACGCCCATCACCCCGAAACAATTATTAAACCTGGACCAAGGAGGAGGAAGGTAAGGACAACAGTTAAGGACAAATCATTTAAAACAAAAATGACTAAATCTCATTTGAAGTACTGCTGACTTGAGGTGGTGGAAGTCATGGAACTCTGGAGAAGGCAGGAAGGGGAGGTGGTATCCACAGTGGGAGATGGTGGTGCTGATCAGAGCCAGGGAGTACCAGAGGGAGGTGGTGGTCACATGGGAGCCCAGGATCATGGGACCAGCCACTGCTGGCATCATGTTGGAAAGCTGTAGAAGTAGTGAGAGTTGAGAGGGCAGCTTTTAAAAATTCAATCAGGATTAGGTTTTTCCATTAAAAGATTAAATACGTTATTCTAACACTGACGGTAAAGAGAAGCTAATGGTCATTAAAACAGGAGAAAACACAGTATTCACCACGTGCTCCAAGGGGTGAGCATATATGCAGACGACTCCGACGGGAGCTGTCCACTCATGGTGCTGTTTGTGGTAATGTTTGTAGAGACTGGGGTGATGGAAAAGTCTGAGAGAAAACATGATGAGGAAGAAAAATAAGAATTTAAAAGAAACACTTTTTTTTCACTGGACAGGGGCCGTGGTGTCAGAGGTTTGACACCATCTGATGTTTACCTGTGTGAGTAGTAAAAGAGAACCTCCTCCACCATGGAGAAGAAGGCCATCTCTGCCAAAGCCCAGTGGAAGGTGGGCAGCTCGGGACCACAGGGGTTTCCTCTCCAGCTCATGAAGAAGTAAATCATCACCACCATGGGTGCAGAGATGAAGATCTGGTTGAAGATGACACACTTCACTGCGTGACGGAGCTTCACCGGATCCACCTGGAGGTCAAAGGAACCAGGTCAGTGTTGTTTTAGTTTACATTTTATAGTACATTTCATTTGGGTTTTTAGTTTTTGGTTGTATTTTCTTGGCAAATGTTCTTTTTCAGTCAAATGTACTTCCGTGTTAAAAGCAGTAAAAGTTCTGTACAGCAATTAAAAGGCAATTCAACAACAATACTACATTTTTTTTCACAGGATTATAGTCCAAACATGCCTAAATGAAATGAGCTGCTAATAAAATCTCAGATCAAAAGAAAATAAATGATTGAACTATTTTGTTTTTTGGTTAATATTTTTTGAATGACACAAGGGACAAAACAGCCGTGAAAGTCTTGTAATTTAACATTGAAACACATTGACACATTAATGGAGGAGATTCATTTTCCTCCCATCAGTTAAATGCTTGGACAAGTAGCCACACATTAGCACACTGATAAACTGAGTCGTCTTAGTGTTATTCCTGTATGATAACATCACATCCTTGTCTTTTGTTTATGACTGCTGTCACTCCATGTCAGAGGATTATCATGAGTCAGAGAACAGAGGTAACACTCAGTCGGAGAACTTGGAGAACAACAGAAAACATTTAGATTCTGCCATTGAGCTTCACAACACACAGAGAAATAAGGAAATATAAAATATTGGTCTTTAGAACGGTGGGTTAGAGATTTATGTGTTTGAATAAATGTATTGTATGGATGGTTATGCATTTCCTTCCAAGTGCATTTATGGTGATTATCTGTTGTGAGTAATCAATAATCAAATTACATTTTCAAAGTGACCTCCAACCGCTGTTATCAGTAATCTTTTAATTATTATCGCTGCAAAGTTCAACCACATCTGTTTATCAAATACAGTGGACGGACTTCGGTCAGTGACATGTGGACACAGCAGATCATACAGTGTATAACACCACTTGACCCCAGGAGGGAGACTTGTTGTTAGTTGAAGAGTTTTCTTGTTTTTACTACCAGTGCAATTACTATTATTATACCTGTGCAATATATATATTTATTTTGTAAGCTAACTTTTGTGTATATAAATATATACACACACATATACAGTATATATACCTGAAGTTCATGTTTAATAAATGACCAGAAAGCAAACACTTCAAAATACCCAACAAATAAAGTAGTGATGCTTTGACCATAGTACTGTTTCGTGTGAACCGAATTAATTAGTTGCTCAGTGCAGGCTATAGTGATAACAATTACTGAGAAAACATGCCATAAACTGATGATGTGTGAAATAACAGTTCAGTTTGCGGCAGATGAAAGAACACTTTTAATCTGAATCACTTTGGGAAAAAAGGGAGAAGCACCAAACCTCATTGAATTGTTGAAAAAGACTAAATTGTCAAACAAAAAAATAAGGCATGAGGCGTGTGAGTGTAACTGACCGGGTTGTTCTTGTCCACCTGGATGCGGTAGCGAGTGATGAAGGATGGTTTACTAGTGGAATCGATGATTAATAGCAGAGTATTAGGGATCCAGAAAACCAGGCTGGGGATTAACATGGTCCCTGGTGGGGGGAAGCACACACACACACACACACACACACACACACACACACACAAAATAGTCATTATTACCTTTAAATATTACTTAAAAAACAACATCTTATCTGTTTACATTGCTAATGACTGACTGACTTTACACTGCAGTCCTATTCTGGCCATGTTGTGACCCAACGTCATGACGGTTCAATCGTAAGAGTGACACCAGAGCTCATACCTGTATTTTATTATCCTGTCTATTGAGAAATGTTTTTTTTTCTCATCAGTGGCTGATAAGACGGCAGCTCTGGTGTCAGGTGGTTACAGGCTCAGGCTGTGACTGTCGCTTCAGATGTGATTACCATCGAGGCTGTTCAGAACAGTGATTGGACGACCAGCCAGTGACAAATAAATAAAACAAACAAACAAACTTTTGGCAGACACTGTCAATTAAAATGCCGTCATTCGTCTTCTCCCAGGCGTTGCCTTGTGCCACCTGCTAATTTTAGTGTGTGAAACAGGTGGAACTGGCCGTTCAGTTTCAGCATAATCCTAGAGATAATCCTTTTAGTTTCGCCAAGTGTCATCAAACCATAGTGGGTGTCCTTTACCTATGAAAAACAGAGCAGCATCACGACCCTCAAATGCCAAGTACAGCCTGGTCCATAGATCCTGCCAGAAATGTCCAGAAGCCCCCCAGAACCTCTGGAGATGCCTGCAGAGGCACAGACAACACTGTACAATTAATTAAAGCCACAAAATGTTTGGAAAAGTCCAAATGAACCTCCTACTCTATGTAAATGCAATGACACCGTGCCTCAGTTCTTACAGTACTGACGGCTGTTTTCCTGAGTACTATTCTGTGGGCTGTAAGGTGAACCCACCATGTCAGCGAGTTGCCAAATGCAGCCAAGAATAAGATTCCTGATCCGATGATGAAGGCAGCTTTCTTCACAGAGTCCCAGAGTCCTGCGGGGCCTTCCTGAGCAGAGAGAAAGCAACAGCTGTGTCAAATCACTGCTGAGATCGTACAATCCCACAATAGTCAGCTACAGCAGCATTTCCAACAAAGACCTCCAACCGTGGAGATATTTCACTGAAACAATACTGAGGCTGTTACTGACACCATGGGTTTATGGGTTTATTTATTTGTTAGCATCAGAATACGACCCAAACATCTAACACTGACTGTGACCCTGCAGGGCTTTTGAATTTGCCTCTCTTTGCATCACTGATAATCTAATGAATGCTGCACCTTCTGCTGCAGCTGACCTATTTCTGTTTTGACATATTCAACATATTCTACATGCATTTGGTAAAAAAAAAAATAAGCCAGTCACGCTAACAGGATCAGTTCACTCAACAGGAATTATAAGTCTGTGGATTTATTCTACGTTCCCATGCCTTCAATGGGCTGCTCTCAGACCAGCTGTGGAAACAGTAGGAACAGTCATAAATCTGACCAGCAGGTCTGAGTACTGCGCTTCTTGTTAGCATTCTCACACCCACAAACACTGTGGGAGCTATGACAAGACCTCCGATAAAAAAAAGTTTAAGTCCTGCAAGTCAAAAGCCACTGTTAAATATTTCCAATAAAACCTTCAACCTTCCGAGTGGCTCGGACCAGATTCCAGCTACAACAATGCACATGTTGTGGGAAATAATTTAAGGAAATAATTTATGTACATTTCTGCTCGACTTTGTTTATTTATCACTTCAGTTAAACTTAAGTGAGCAGAGGCAGGAAGAGGAAATGACATTGAGGGAGCAGTGCATCACAACACCTGCAGGCGTTCTTACCTGCTGCTGGCTGTGACTGCTGCTGCTGCTGTTGGTCTTGGTAGCTTCTCTCATATCTGTGAGGAAACAAATTGGAAATAAAATCATTTAACAAATATCAATGGTGAGATGAGACTGTGTTGAATTAAAAACATTACACTTCAGCCAGAGAAAAACTAACAGAAAAATTATAATACTAAGAAATATAAAAGAAAAATTATATTTTAAAAAACCACCCCCAACAAACTTCTTAATTTGGTGGTGATTTGATTAAAAAATAAAAGTTAAGAATAATTTTGAAAAATAATTGCTGGAGTTTTCTCTTTATCTCTACTTTAGAAATACTGAGACATGATAGTGATATAACATAAATAAAATGACGGAATCAAATCAATCTGCATAAATAATGCAATAATCAGACTATAACAATGACTCAACTGTTCTAGGAATGTCCTACATTTCCCCGAGCACGTGAACTACTCGTTATTGTTTTCCTGTATTTCAAGTTTGGATTAATAATTCATAGGAACTTTAAACAGAGAGATGTAAAAACAGGCGTTAGTTGTTCACAGACTCACCGCTGACTCTCGTCACCACCATGGTGTAAGTTGTCTGCTTCTATTCCTCCTCTCAGACGACGGTGCTGCTGCTGCTGCTGCTGATGTTTTTACTTCAACCTGCCTTTTATTTACAGCCGGGTCTGACCTCTGATTGGTGGATCCTGGGTCAGCTGACTAACTTTAGTTTTTTGTTTTTTTCCTTATCCAGTCTCGTGGGTGCAGGTGAAGGTTTAGACTCAGCATGGTGACAGCGGCACTAGGATATAATAAAATATAAAGGCTACATTATACTGACCCTAAATATCTCTGTACAGAACACCAATGTTTATCAAAGGAGTACATTTTGATTTATTTTTGACAAAACCGCACCTCGCGTTACGATCTAGATCCTGGAACCGATAATGCTCGTATCTCGAGGTTCCACTGTATATTATATATAATATAAATATATAAAATAAATATGTAGATGTATAATATATTAGAATGGAGTGAATACAATTAATACATTTTTATAAATGTTATTTTTAAAGTTTATTTTCCTTTGTATTATCTATAATGTTTACCAGTCTGTCCTGCTTTCACAATAGTTTGTTTCCTAAAATGTATTTATTGAAAAAAAAAAAATCACAATCCTAATTTTTTTAATTAAACAATGCCTTTAATAAATGTGGTCAATCTGTATAACGTGATGTCTGTTCAGTGTTTTTCTTCATTGTTCTTCATTCTTCAAATTTTGAATATTTTTGACTAATCCGACTTGTTTTTAAATTAATGTTATGAACTGATTTTTTACATCAGCTCTAACTTTTAGTCTTCTTTGTGTTTAAAGCCAATAAACAATTTACTTATAATTTATATCGTGAGGCGTCGTCGGTTGTGGAACTATGATACCAGCAGATGGCAGTGTTGAAAGTACACCATTATCACACTACCTTTAAAGCTAAAGAAGCAGACTAGCATTTGTACTGCGCGTGTCCGTTTAGACGGCGCTGTTTGAGAGTAAAAACCATGTCCGTCGAGATGCAGCCCGACTTTCCAATACTACCGTCAAGTCCGGATGAAGGTATGGTGCATATCTATTTTTCATAGTATTGAATACACCATCTGTCTTTAAGCGAACGTCACCGAAATATGTGAATCTACCGTTGTTATTGCGCTGGCTAACGCTAGCCACCGGCACGACAGTGGCTGAGACCGAGCTAGGCTGCTAAGCTAACAGTAGCCAATTCAGCTCCAAGGTCGACGAGTGCATGAATTCACCCGTACATTTTCAGACCAAGCACCAGTTTTCTGTGAGCCAGCGCAACAGCAGAGACACTGGTGAACATATTTCACTTATTTGTGTCCGGCTTCCAAGCGCTGCATATAACAACGTATCGGAACTTATGACTGATACAAAATGAGCTCAGATGGTTGTATCTTTTTTCCTAAACGTAATTTGGAAATACTTCCAAAATCAAACACGTTTGTTTGTGTGTAGCTTTACTGACAGCATGACACGAAAATGTCGAAGTAAACCGTGTGGGCAAACTGAGGCTGCAGCTCACCCTTCTCTACAATCACACATTGAATTGATTAAACAGGGACATCTTTATAGCGAGTTTCCAAAACATAATGGCTTGATTACCCAGAAGCCTTTTCAGGCTGAGCACTAGAAGCAAGTTTGTGCTTGCTTCGTCTTTATCGCGTTATAAAGTCACACAGATTCACAGGTCTTAGTTGCATTTGGTGTTTACGTGTGATGTGTCAACTTTTACCTTGTTAAACTATTATATACTTTACAGTTTGAGTACCAAGTGCTGTGTAAAACAAAGTGTATATATTTTTAACTATTTGTAATTTCTAATAAAATGTCAATGACATCATTACACTGGGCACTGAAAAAGAGCCTGCAAGACGATGCACATATTGTAAATGACAAATTCAGTGATAGATGGAGTTTGGAATTACCATAGGGGCTATCAACCTAGTCAGTTTTGCCTTACCCTGATTCTAAAATTGCATCACTTTGATATAAACTAATTTAATTCCAAAACTTCCTCTACGCTGGCCAAATTTTGCATTAATCCTTTAAATTGTGATGCTGTCGAATTTATGTTGGAGAGTCAGGGGAACCATTAACCCACAACACAAAAGTTCGAGATACAGTATAAACAGGACAGATCATAGCAACATTTGCTTTCTGGTACCAGAAGAGCTGTCTTTACATGTCACTGACTACTTCCAGCCTGATATGTGTCTTAAAATGGCACAGAAACAATGGATGGATGAGAATCTTCACAGACACACTATGACCAATATTTGTATTATTCTTCTTTTGATGTATTAAAATGTTGCACCAGTATGATTCTTGCTCTAGTCAGACTTGTTGCTGTGTGAGGAAAAATCAGAACCTAATGCCTGTGCTAAAAACAATTGTTTCATTAATTGACCAAACTGCTTCCATGGAGAGATTCTTGATAATTCATTCATAATGCATTATTTTTGCTAAGATGTGACCTAAATGTATTTCTCATTCTTTCTTCTCCTGCAGTAAATAAGATGATAAAGGAGCACAGTGACCTATTTTCTGACTCCCAGTGTAAGGTCTGCAGTGCTGTCCTAATTTCGGAGTCCCAGAAGTTGACTCATTATCAGGTCAGTGAGCCCACATGCTGCTGCTGCTGCAGCAGCTGATCCTTCCATGTCCTCTGTCTTTTGTGTGTATCTTTTAGGAAATTGTGGGTTAGGCGTTTAAAACCTATTTTTAAAAAAACCCTCCATATTTTCGTCTGTTGGACGTTATTCAATATCCTTATCTTTTTCTCCATTAGCTGAGAGGAGGACGGCAAAAGCCTTCTTTTGCTTTTGTTTTTGCTTATAGGAATAATTTAACCTCTCTACGTCTACACAGATGACATCATTTTGTCAAGCATTTCCCGATATACACAGATATCTACATAACAACTTTTGTAAACATAGTATGATTTGACATTCATGATTTTTGTGCATGGACAAAGATATTTATTCTGCAGTAGTACATGCATTAGAGTCATGTACAGCAGTTACTAAATAATAATTATTCTTAGGCGTTAAAGCACAATATGTTCTGAAGGCATTAAGTATAAAGATGATGTCTGTGTTAATTCGCCTTTTTTAAAAATATATAATTTATTTATTCTGCATCTATTCTCTTTTCTGTGTTTGCAATGTATGTGATGTTTTCTTTGCTGCTGGCATATTGCAAAGAATAAAAATCTCTCTCTACATCTGCCCTCCTGTCATTTGTTCACACCATGTTTACTTTTAACACTCGTCTTGTTTTGAAATTTTTTTTGTGTATCGTCTGTGTTTGTGTATTACTATTCACTGTGTTGTTGAAAACATGAAATGTATGACTTTGGTCAGAATAAGTTGAAATGTGTACTTTGTCTTATCTTGCTATATGATTGATGATGATATGATTTTGGGATGTAGAAATTTGTCTAATGTTAGTTAATTATGTGGTGACAGAAAGGAACAAAATCAGATGAATAAATGTTCTGAAAGTTGATGACATTTTAGGACATTTTTGTTTGGTTGTTCACTTTGCCCTTTCTGCTTTTCCTTTCAGAGTAAGAAACATGCCAACAAAATAAGGCGTTACCTCTGTCTGCAAAATGAAAAGGAGCCAGCTGTCAAAAAGTTGAAGACATCAGTCAGTAGCGTGAGTGTGAAGAGTTTCTATATTTAAATGCGAATTGCTCATATTGTTATGTAAATCAGTTATTCAAATAGGTTTAAAGGGGATCAGTTTTGTTACTTCGATGCTTCCTTGATGTTTAAATGAAATGTGCACTATATTTTGCCCTAAGATGATTGGTTTATTGCACTGGAGTGATTGATTGACTGATTATATGAAGATGTTTGGTCATTTTCTCAGCACTAAAAGTTACATTTAAAGTCAGTAAGTCAGTCAGTTTTCATATATTTAACATAGCTTATTGAAAAAATAACAGTAGCTGCCTATATTGAAAAGGAACAAAAATAACAGGGTTTTTTTGTGCAGTTCTTCTTATTCACTACTTCGGTTAAAAATTTAAAGAATTTACCAAGTGTTTTGGATCTTGAACAAGTTGGATTGAAAAATAAACTAATTTGCTTTGGACAACACCAATAGCTAGTTGTGTGGTACCACTGCGCACCAACTGGGAAGCATGCCCCTCGATTTGAGAAACAATGATTGGAGTAGGCACAAACAGTGTTGAAGTAGGTGATTTGATTGAGTTCAGTTGCTGTGGCTGACCTTTCGCATCTCATGTGTCAAAGGAAAGCCATTTTTAGGCCCATGAGGGAACAAAGAGAGCAGATGGGGAGCGTCCAAAGACATTTAAGCTCTTTTTGTTTGAAATCAAGTCATTTGATATGTTTCTTGACCATGAGTAATTAATCCTACTGTGTGCCTTTGTCAGCCTGACTGCAATAATGGGGATGCTGACCGGTACAAGGCCTGTCATCTGTGTAACATGACATTCTCCTCACCTGTGATCGCTGAGTCTCACTACAACGGCAAAGTTCATGCCAAGAAGCTACGAATGAAGATGGGCGTTTCTCAGACTCCAGGTATGATCCTCCAGGGATTAACCTTCTACGCCTGTAGCTGATGTGTGTATTGGAATTTAGTTATTTTTCCTTGTGTGTTCTTGGTGCATTTATTTTATGACGGCGAATGTAGCACTACATTTATGCTGCCTCTAACTTTGGTTGCTGCAGTAAGCTATTTCAGAATAATACTCTTGGCACACGGATCTCTTCTTTAAACTTTTTAAGAAAAAATCTTCTACCTGAGGTTGAATTCTCTTAGTGACCTTTCTGACGTTTTTATGTTTTTTTTTTATTTTTCACTTTGTTGAATTCCTGTTTAGCTCCTGCCCCTGAGAAAGCAGCTCCACCGAAGATAAAACCTGCAGAGGAAATAAGTGTTGACAACAACAACGACCCAAACCGATTTTGCTCCATCTGCCAGGCTCCCTTTAATAATCCACTCATGGCCCAGCAGCACTATGAGGGCAAGAAGCACCGGAAACGGATGACTAAGATGAAACTGATGGAGACTTACGGTCCATCCTCTGCACCAGGTCAGAGCGCAGACCACAGAAAATGTCACATTCACAACTACATTAAATCACACTCGATATGGGCCTTTTTTAGCTTTTAAATACAGGAAAATATTTTGGGCCGTGAATAGTGGGGCAGCCACTCCCATGACAGACTTGATGATTTAAGATGCTAATGCTGAAATGTGAAAGTAAGGCCAGACCCCATTTTTGGGGCTCAAATGCTTTGAAGTGATGTTAAAAAAATTGAGAATTTAAAATAGTCTCCCTTTGTGCTCAGCTTCCTCACAACAGGGCTACCAGTGTACAATCTGCAACATCGAGCTCAACTCAGTGGAGCAGTACCAGTCTCACGTCAGCGGTGCGAAACACAAGAACCAGTAAGTGAACACACAACTTCCTTTCCACCCTTTGATGTGTTTGATACGGCCCATAACTGCTTTCTGTCTGATCAATTTAAATGTCACCAATTTTGGCTCATGAACAGAAAATGTATCAAAGATGCAAACGTTCGAATCATGTTTATATTTGGGCCTAATGCAAAATGATTTCAGTAATATTTTCTGCCCACTCCAAGCAGTGATTGAGTAGAAATCTTATCTGAAAGAGTTCACAGAGCTTGGTTTTAAAGAATTAGACGTTACAAGAATTATTAGTTTTTAATTTTAAAAAAATAAGTAAAGTTGAATTACAAGCTGAAATTAATACATTTATAAAATATTTAAAATATATTTGCATAAATGCATTTCTTGAGTACCACAGAAAAGTTAACATTCTCAAACCCATCTTTTTGTAACTCTTTCTAGCAAAATGTTCCATGTGACTTTTCACATACAAGTGAGGTTTTCCAAAATCATGTGTGATCAATGATCTTACCCAGCCAATGTGCATGAAAAAAAAAAACTCGTATAGGTAATTGCTCTGACATTGAATATCATGGATATATTTGCATGTGAGAGCCCCCAGTGGTAAGTCTAATAAAACAAAACTATCCCAGCTTAGTTTTTGGGCCACTGAAATACAGATACTGGGTCTCTTTTTTCTCTAAAGACAATCTGAAGTAGTTAAGTTTCTAACTTCTCATTTAATGTTTCATAAGAATGAAGAAATTAGGCAAGAGCCCAACAGAGAACCAACAAACAGCAGAAAAAACACTTGGGAGTAAGGACAAGTTTACCAGTAACGTCACCCAGTATGCAGCAGAAGGTGACCAGTACGCCACTGGAGACAACAAGTACACCTCAGGAGAGGATGAATACACCACAGGAGACCAGTTTACTGCCACTGATTTCCAGTTTGGACTTGGAGATATGGACAGGCAGTACCCAGGTGATAATAACCAGTATATGTCTGAGGACAAGCAGTACGCAGAGGAATACCAGTACACCTGAAGTTGGAGCAGGTGGAAGATCCTGTCAGGACTCACCATACAACAACCAGCCCCTTTAACACATTGTCAACTAACCATCACCCGCCCTGGACTTTTCTCCTGGAGCAGTTGTTCAAACCACACGGTTAAACCCAGGTGTCCATCTCCATCATTGTGTTCCCAGCCCGATCTGAAGATTCTTTTTTATAAGCTCCTGATGATGAGTGTGATGTCAAAATGTGGACATGGGCTCAGCAGTGATGGAAACCCAGAAACCGGACTCCACCTCCAAATACCCTTACTCACAACAACAATGCTGCGCCTGTGCATTGTGAATAATTATCATGCGGGAACCTTCAGTCCGATCTTTCACTTCATTCAGAGCGTAACCATCGGTTGAATCCAGAGAGGTGGTCAATGTTCTTTCAAACTTTATTAATATCTGACCAGCACTAACAACAACCAACAACAAACAACCACACCTCCACATTTCTGATGACAGTAACAGTGAATGTATGAAAAACACATTCTCATCTCAGATGTTGCTTTGTTACTGGTACTTTTCATGTTTTATTTTTTTGCAAGCTGTTAAAAAAAGAGGTCACATTTGTAACTAACTAAAGTCAGTTTTTAAAATTTGTCGTTGCTTTCACTGTAAGACTCGTGATTTTAGGTGATAAATCTTCAAATTGATTTTAGTATATATTTTTTCAAAATCATTAATATCTTGAGCAGCTTTTTAAACATAGTGCTGTTGTTTAAGGTCACTGAGGACTGTCAGTAGGGAAAAAGAAGACATTTTTGTCCAACGTGGATTGAGTTGTCCTTATAGGAGAATAATGTCCCCTGCTTTATAGTGCACCACTGGGTCACAGTTTGAGACTGTGTTTTCTGGCTCTAATGATGCTTAAAATATCCTAGCAAGTGCTCTGCAAAATTACCTCCCTTATTGGATGTTAAGCTTTAGCACGGACGGTGTACAAAGACAACACAAGACAACACAAGCAACAAATTGGATGATAACAAACATCATAGGAGATATCAAAGGTGTTTGCATGTGAAATGAAATTAGTGGGTGTGTTTGAAACTTATTCAGATATTGATAAAAATAATCCTATTGTTACCTGGACTTCAGCAGCAGCGACAAACAACAGAAAATGACAGGCACACGATCATCGACAACACTCATGGAATGCCTCAAATACTTTAAAGGACTCGTAGAATACATCAAAGGCATAGGTGATATGCCTTTTCACAGCAAAAACAAGAAATCAGTGAATTCTACAGAGCAGCAGTTGGTAGCTTCTTTCTTTTTTTTTAATCGTCTCTTGGGAGCCTGGACCTGCATGCAAACTCAAGAATCCACATTTAGGAACAAAAACATTTTTCTGGGTTCACGGTGTGGGGAAATATGTCAGGGCAGTGATCGTCAAACATCAGCCTTGGAAAACTGTTGGTTATTTCCAAGTATGCGTCAGGTCAAAAATGGGCTGCTGCTTTCATTGCTACTGACGAAAAACTCCGACCTCAAACAACAGCGTCGTGTTTTGGAACACAATGCGTTTCTTTCGCAACTGCTAGTCTTGTCTCAACCCCAGAGGCCTGGATGGACTTTTAGGGGAGCTTATTTTTGACGTGTCTGTCTGGACATTGCACACTCCATAACAATAATGTGTATTCATCCCAGTTCTACAGTTAAAGTATGTTCGTTAAAGTCTTGTCACTATGAAATCACAGGCTGATGCTCAAACCTCTGACTTTGTAACTCATGAGTTTTCTGGCTGCAGTCAGTGTTTTTAATCATCAGCTGAAGCTGCTGGATATTTATTATACACCAGAACAACTAATGATACTTTATCAGACACTCCCATGACTCATAACAGATGTAGATGTCAGTGAAGATGCAGAAACACGTTAGAGCTTAAATTAGTCTCTCCTCCCGTCATGTCATTCTCAGCATCTTTTTGTAGAGATTGATGTCATTTTTATACAAAAACATTAAGAGTCTGAATAATTTTGTTTACAAATTGGATTTAAGGGGATTGTATTTAAGTCATAATCTGATAGTTTACTGAAGTGTTAGCAGGAATAACGTGACTGTCCTCTGTAAACCGTCAATATTTTGTCCATATCAGCTCTTTTCCGTTGATGTCAGGATGAAGTACTTTGAAAGTACAAACCCTCTTTGCTGGTGAATGATGTTAGAGTCAGCTGTTGGATGTCTAATACATGACCAATAAGTAGAGCACCTTTGATGTAACAGTACAGAGGGCTCCTAACTCAGTGTATAATTCACCGTGTAAAAAAAAAAAAGTCCCACCAACAGTTGCAGTTCCACTTTCATTGTTTGTGTGTAAGGTGTTGTAATTTAAGATTTTCTTTGAAAATGCATCGTGCATACAGTAAAGAAATGTTTTAAGAGACTACGTTCATCTGTGGGTTTTTTTTTTCAATCTGAGATTTGAAGAAGGCTCACATCATTTTCCGAGTCGGTTGCCTGGGAGTGGGGATGTCCATGATCAGTGGCCCAGATGCCGATGTGTCCCTGAGCTGGACTCGTCAGCTTGTGTTTCTTTTGGTGGCTGTGCCTGGAGCATCAGAACGGAGCATCTTCTGCTGTGAAGTCTGATGTGTTTTGTGTTGGAAATGTTTAGTCATTTGATTTGTTGTTGCATTGGCAGTTTTTGAAATTTTCTTTTTCCATTCTTTTTAATTGTGTTGCTTTTTCTTTAACGTGTGAGTTTCCAGTTTGATTCTAGTCCCTTAAATGTAAAAAGAATATGAATATGGAAGAAACTGAAACTGACTGAATTTTCTTTTAATCGACATTATACAGCAATACCTGATACCACTGTAGTATCATAATACTTATATTAATTTTTTATTCATTGTTTTGAACGGCAAAGGACCTCCGTATGACGAGTCCTAGTTGTTTTGTTTTATATTTGCGTAATTTACATGAAACATTTAGCGTGAGTGATTTCTTTCCCCCACAAGGTGGCGTCCTCGCTCTACAATAGAGGTGGGTCAACGCATGGTTTTTGCTCTCGGCACACGTCTAAGTTCAAATTCAGACTTTACTCTCACTGGGAATCAAAACAAAGCCACACAATTGTGTTTTTTCCCCACGTTATTCACCCCCTGTTTCCACAGCCGTGTAATTCGAACTCCTGTGTGTTTTTTGCTTATAGTCCCAGCAGATTGTGCTTGTTGATGCACGTCATCCAGTTTAAACAAATAAACTCAAATACATAAACTCATAGAGAGTGCCGGGGTTGTGCTGTTCTCGGATTGTACACTTTGAGACATTTTTGTGTGGAGATGAATGTGAGGAACACAGTAGATGATAATTGTGAACACTCTTATATGATATTCTGCCATCTGCTGGTCAAGTCCTTAAGTTTTCAAGGCACCAGGTTTGGGCCAGGACATTTGTGCGTCCTGACTTTTTGAGCTGTGTTGTCACTGTTAACTGCTGTCTATTAAAAAAAAAAAAAATCTAGTCGCTATTTGAATGCCATGTTCTAGAGAACAAACTCTTTGTACTACTGATACAAACAGTAACATGTTTTTTCCCCCTTTCTAAACACTGACTGGACAACATTCACAAGCTTAAAACATTACTAGATTTCTAAGTCATGACAGCAGTTAGGGCTAATAAGACTACAGGCCAACGTCCAGACAATGGCTTCCTTAGTTAATTCTTCATGAATTAAAACAGGAAGCACGTTGGGACACGTGGAGAAGGTTTGACCGTGAGGAAAATGGTGTTTCCAGGAATTCTACAGCTTCTGTGTGTGGAGCTGTGATCCTCCAGTCTCTGTGGAACACATTTGAACTCCTCTAAAAAGTCTCTCCGTCGTCTCCTCAGAGCTTTTCTACAGCTTTTCTACAAAGATGAATGCTCTATAAATCACAGAGGTGAACTGCTCACAGCTCAACACAGTTTTGAGTCAGTGGCTGTGTTTCCTGACTGCTTTCACTGTCGCTGACCCCTGACAGACTTACAGCTCCCAGGTTACTTCTCAGAAACTGATGCCTGATGTAAAGTTTTAAACATCTCTCAGATGCACAATGAAGTCTTTGCTGTCTGTCTAATGCAGGGTTGAAATGGTTTTTACCTTTTGTGAAATATGTTTTTGATAAGTTTCAAACTCGCTTCCCCAGGAACAATGTATATTTTCTTTATCTAACTATCCCTTTTAAACTTTAGTTTCACCATTAGAAACTAAACAAATAGTTGTTTTATTTTAGAGGTTCTCCCGTTTGAGTTCCTAATGCTAGAAATGCATTTATGCTTCTTAGCTTCGACGGAAATTGTTTTTCAACTCTAACGTTAGGTAATTTTAAATGTAAGAGGCGTACAGTACGAATAACATGAAGTGTTCTTTTTATGATAAAAGAGATTCAGTGTTTCAGCCCATTTTACTACTTTATTATGATAATTAATCGTCCACACTGGCCTTTCTTTGTTGGCTTAATCCTGCAGATCTGTCTGCTGACAAGAACACATCAAAGTTACGTTAAAACCACACAAAGTGCACTGAGCTACTTGAACGGTGATGGATTTTAAGGACATTTCTGAGCAATCCTATAAATATTTTCTCACATAACATCCAGTGAGCAGATTGCAAGGAAATCTGCTCACTGGGTCAGAAGCAGGAAGTTCAGAAGACTCCTCTTGACTTTGGTGTCCTGTTCCACTTCCTGTACTGTGCTGCCCATGTGCTCAGTGGATCAAAAGGATCAATCCCATGAAGAGAGAGAGGATGTTTTATGGCATCTGATCTGTGTTTAATCCGTCTGCAGACGAGGGTGGGCTGGGGGGGTTTCTGAGGCACATCTCACATCTGAAGGAAAACATAGCAGTGTCTGACTCTGGGTTTAGTCAGTCGTACAGAACCTAAGGCTCAGGAAGGAATTGTATAAACCTGCAGATGCATTTAAACAGTGTTCAATCAGTTGATTGGCTGTCCTGTTCATGGACAGTTTACAGTGTGTTTCATATGGACTTTATAGGCCTCCACACTCTGCTGGATCTAGTTCTGTTTAGATCTGAGTGACGTGGTGAAAGAGTGGGTTTTTGCTTTTGCCTTACAGCAAGAAGGTCATGGGTTTGAGCCCTGGCTGCTGTCACTACATGTGTCCTGTGATGGACTAGGTAACTAGATAGCCATCATACAGTATATATGTGAAGTTATGCACCCACCCAACTACCTGTACAACACACCGACAGCAAAGATTCCCACAGTCTAATGTCACATCGGTCACATCAGCTGCACGAGCCTTTAAGACAGGACGTTGTTGACTGTTGAAGTCTAGCCAGTGGACTGTAAGTCAATTACATCAGCAGCTGTTCTGAGAGTTTTCACATCACAGGGATATTGTGAGCCACACACCACACACCCATTGTTGCTAACACAGCCACAGACTGTGGTGATTTTGATGACTTCACATTATTAATGCAGCTGCACTGGAGTAAAACAAGACACTGGTCCTGGTCTGAGACTTGGTAAAGGTGGCTGATCAACTTAAATGTTAGCAAAAGTGATCAGATATCACTGTGTAGTCTGATTGTTGCTCTGTGGTTCACAGACTGACTGGTCAGCCGATGTAAGTACTTGGACTCCCTCTAGTGTTAGGCGAAGGAATCGGATTTCAATTAAGACCAGGTGTGTCGCTTACTGGTGAAATGTGGCTGTTGTATTTTTCTAGCTCTGTTTTTTATATTGAATTGAAATGTCGTTGTACCGTACGTCTTTGGTTAGAAAAAAGCGAATTATCTGTTCAGGAATAAAATCTCCTTCTATGTTCTGCTCAGCTAAACAGGTAAAACATGTGTTTCTATGTTTTAATGTGTGTAGTTGTACTCGAAGAGGCAAATGTTTTCAGAGGTGGTATGTAGTATAACAGGTTTCTAACAAGAACCACAAGTTTAAAAGACACCTCAACATAAATCAGTGTTGGGGATGCAGCATCAAGTCTTCAATTATGTCTCTTATTCTTCATCTGTTTTTAGCTTTCACAGCTCAACATGAAGTCTATTTTCAGCTTTGAGCTTCAGCTCACAGGAAGTGATATTTTTATTTTCTTGTTGTATCCCACCAGTCAACATATGACCATTAAAGAGTGAATGGTGGAACTGGCTGAATGAATAAACCCTGGGAGCGAAGGAAGAAGATGTTGATGTGAGAAAAGGAGAGAGACATGAAAGAGGAAAAGATGAGTGGTGAGGATGGTGGACAGACGGAGGCTGTCAATGGATTTTTATGGACATCTGGTCTCTGAGAGCCATCCGGCAGTTCAGCCTTAAAATGGAGACATCTGGAGGCCAAGCCTTCAATATGTTTGACCAGAGACAAATGCAGAGTTCATCCTCGTCCACCTCCTCATCCTGCGTCTCCTTCTTCTTATATGGGGCCACAGGTGTTTGACCTGGACACTAGTAAAGGCCGGTTCCCTAATTCTGAGAATCACAACGGTGAACGCCCTCACTTGGTCCTAAAAGAGACTAAGCAACAGAAGCATTTAATGAACAAGATGAGATGTAGTATTAAATATTGTCCCTGGACTAACTGCTCTTCCTGTGATGCTAACGACTGTTATTAAAGTAAGGGCACAATAAATACCTTCAGTTAGCAGGGGATGTAATGAAGTCTAAGTCAGGTGCACCGGTTTCTGTAAAAATGATATGATAATTGTATGAGTATGCAATCAGATAACAAGGAGTATTTAATAATTATAAAGTAATATTCTTATGTTCCTATATTCAGATAACAATAATGAAGCTGAATAACCTTAACATATTGCAAACATGATATTTCAACAAACATTATCAATTGACTTAGAACAATCCTGGATTAGAGAAAAAAAACCAACAACAACAATGGATTAATTTGAATTAAAATGTTATACCAACATTGGGTGGTTAAATAAAAATAAACAACAACAACTTTTATATTTGCTTGTCTGTTTTTTCATTTTGACATTAGTCATGTGTCTTTCCAATTATCAGAATGGAACAAAGCGGTTGCTGCTGACTTGTCCAACTGCCTGTGTGCCAACAACAATGCACTGATGAATCACTGAAATGTCAGCTTTTCTTTTCTACTTTGTTCCTTTGCTCCTGTCACAGGCCTGAACACAGCTGAATGCAGCCAGAGACCAGTCAAAGCCGACAGGAAGACCAGGCTGTCATCTGCTCGTTCAGCAGTTAACAACACGTCCAGCTCCCTTTGACCATCAGTCAGCAGAGCATTATTTAACTGACACTCCATCAGGTAGGAACACCAACATTCACCCACATGTGCAGCCTGAGGCCTACAGGTGTGGGCTGGATATAGTCTACACATTCATATATCCACTATACATACATATATATGTGTATATGTGTATATATATTGCCGCCCCGCCCCCCCTCAGA